TAATCGTCGACTGACAGCACCGGATATCATTCGGGAGTTGAATAAAACGCGATCCAATAAAGTGTCAGTTTCTACAGTGAACAATCGTCTTTCATCTGCTGGTCTGCGTGGTCGTGTAGCAGTAAAAAAACCATTATTACGGGCAATACATAAGAAAAAACGTCTGGAATGGGCAAAACAGCATGAACATTGGACAGTGGAACAGTGGAAAAGTGTATTATGGACGGACAAATCAAAATTTCAAATAATCAACGAGTGTTTGTGCGCCGCAGATCCCATGAACGAGTATATGAAAGCTGCTTGGTGTCATCAGTAAAACACGGTGGTGGTAACGTTTTAGTCTGGAGGTGTTTTGCTGGACCAGTTGTCGGAGATCTTGTTAAAATTGATGGAATTATGAGGAAGGAGCAGTATTTGCAAATATTAAGAGATCATGCTTTGCCTTCAGGGATACGTATTGTGGGTGAACCATTCGTGTTTCAACAGGATAATGATCCCAAACACTCAGCTAGAATATGCAAAGCCTTTCTAAAAGAACAGGAGTCGAATGGTACGCTTGAACTGATGGTGTGGCCCCCGCAATCACCCGACCTATCGCCTATAGAAAAATTATGGGATGAGTTGGATCGAAAAGCCAAAGAACGTTTGCCACAGAGCACTAGAGAGTTGTGGCAATATCTACAGGAAGCTTGGAAAGCAATTGGCACCGAATATTTGATTAAATTACTGGGGAGAATGCCTAAAATTTGCCAAGTTGTTATTAAGGCAAGGGGTAGTCATATTAACGAAAATCAATTATAAATTATGTTTGTGTTTAATAAAGGAAAAAGTGGTTTTATTTTGTAGTTTAATTGTTGATTTAATTAAATACCTAATTAGTACTGGTGAAATTGTATTAATTCCTATATTTTCCTTCAAAGATTATTAATATCTTAAGTGCTTCCAAACTTTTTGTCGGTAGTGTAGTTGCTATATGTATATTTTTATCTAGAAGTACTAGATCTATCAAGGCTTGTGACTTCTATAAAGTAGCCGATGTGTGAGATGGAATACTGGTGGTTTCAATAAGTGTCTGTCAGTCATCTTTTATAGGACAGCTAGATAATGAACATATTAATTTAGATTTCGGTCAATACTACAATGTCTGAATTCTCAATGAAGTGCAATTTTCATGGCAATTATTTATTATAATACGCGCAACGATGATCCACAGAAGTGTGGGTTTTCTCCTTTCTCCATAGAAGTATTTTCTTTCTCTCCTTAGAAGTTGTTCAAAAATAAACCGTCTTCCAATGTACTAAGTATGTTTAAATAATTGGCCTGCTTATCTCTAGTAACGACAGAAACGGTTATAAAAACGTGATCGCTTGAACTACCAACTACGCACGACTTAACATCAGCATTCTATAAAAACGATTCCCTTGGATTTCTCAAGAAATACTTGGTAACATAGTTTCAACCATAAAGGCACCATAAATTAAAGGAGCAGACCCATTGCGGGATAAAGTAAAAACTTTGTATGCGTGCGGTCTTCACATTGGAATGAAGTTTTTCAAGTTTGACTCAGAAATGATTGTTGCGACTTGCCAGGGTTGGTACAACCACTTACCCGGACTAAAACGGAGGTGGTATATACATATGATACTAGTTTGTATGTTATCATCAATATATGTACATAAAATCTTTTTTATTATGGGATAAGCCGGTAATCGAGCCGACGGATCACCTGATAGTAAGTCGTCGCCCATGGACAACTGGAACACCAGAGGCATTACAAGTGCGTTACCGGCCTTCTAGATTAGGAATTTGAGGATTGTTGGGGATGCAGGGATTGTACCTATGCATTCGTCAAATGATAGGTGGATTGGTTGTTGCCGCTTCGTAGACAGTTTGCACTGTTTCTAAACAAGACGCAAACAATTTGTCGTTTGTCCACGATGGGTACATGAATGCATCCATTAAATGACGCGTTGTGGACGCAATTCACACCTAAAATAACTACTTATAAGTAAATAATATGAAAATTAGCAACACAAAGCAATATATACACTTTACCATTACAAATAATTGCTGTTGTACATAAGTAATAATTAAAATTACGTCATTTAAGGATAGCTAAGTTAAGCACAAAGTGATGAATTATAAGTTTACAATTATAATCACAACTTACTATTTTCATAAGTCATTGGTATTTTTTTATGGGATAATCCAGTAAATGAGCAGACGGATCACCTGATGGCAAACAACGGTTTTTTATTATTATATTACTATTATATTATAATGTATTACTGGGTTTTTTAAAAACATTTCAGTAGTAGGTCAGATTCTGGAATTGTGAACGGTATATGACAATAAGCTCACCCCCTATTACATGAGTCCCAACGTAAATTGTGAAAAGTGGGTGTTACATTGTACAGTGGCATTAAGTGCCGTAATGTGCACCTCGGCCTACACTTTCGGGGATTAAAAGACGTTATAATAACTTTGCTAAAATTGTATCTAACTGCGTATTATTGGAATAGAAGCTAGCACATTATAGAAAAAGGCTGCTCAGGACATGCGTGAGAATACTAGGTTATAAGAACTCTGTGCGGTTTCACTGCAACACTTATACTTATCTATCTATTAATGTTTGTATGTATGTATATGACGTGCATATGTAGGTACTCCACCGTGAAAATGTACCAGGCAATCAGTAGTTACACGGAGTTATTCCTTTTTCTGAAGATACTTGCAGTCAGTCGTAAATGTGAGGTGGTTTGACTATTTTTTCTTTAAGGCAAAACGCAATGATTGTACGTAGGTAATGTCCAATGATTGAAGCAGTTAGATACTTACATAGTTCTGCGAAATAGTTATATAAATTATGATAATTGATTGATCGTCTTTAGCCGAGTTTTTTTTTATGCATAAATCGCTAAACGAGCAGACGGATCTTTGATTAACAGTTGCCACTTATAGTCTTTTATGTGTGATGTATTTCGTCAAAAATGATTCGGATTTAAAGTTGCCGTTTCGTGAATAATTTTCGTTGTTTCTAAGCAAAATGAAAATCCTACTTTTTGTGAAGGAAGCCTTATCTCGTCAAAGGACGCCACATCCCCTTAGTGGACAGAAACATCCACGGTAAGGGTAAGGATAGATATAGTAACAAATGCATTCTACTTTACCGTATCCCACGGCTTACTAGCAAAACAGTAACCTTTACGAAGGCCTTCTAAGAAGTTTCCAGCGGCAAATCGCAGTATATTACATTAAGTGGACAGTTTTCCTATAAAACGTTGTAAATAGTGGAACGTGATCAGCATGAATACGTGTTCAAATGGCCATCGCGGACTATGGCGGAATAGGAATGAACTTGTATGAAAACACCATGGTCTTACAAGGACATCAGTACATCAGTAGTGTTTACGTGACCATTGTCATGTATAACTGACCTTGAAGTTTTAACACTTCTACTTATGACCCTGAATTTATGACTACTTTTTGCAATGACTCCTTTTATTCTTCAAAATTATGTTATGTCACAGTATTAAAGTAGTTTGATGTCCTGCGCATTACGATGCATAGTGAATTCCAATGCAATGGTTTACGTAATAAGTTTCTTAACTTACATGATTCGGTTTGGTTTCTCACATAGTTTAGTACTATTTAGTAACTCGTTTGGTCATCACAATTAGGCATATAAAAGCTGATTTGACCGCATCGCGTTTGGCGTCCTTGCAGCATCGCATTTTATCGTCGTAGGTCAAGAATAGCGTTACAGATCTAGAAAGCGGTTGAAACTATAAATACCTTAATCTAAAATCTCGAATCGAAGTAAAGTTTTGACTAAAGCTCAATTGTAACAATATCAAAAATTAATTAAAACTTTTTAAAACTATTTGAACCTTCCAAACTCACATATGAAATTAGGTTAACGTGTTTTACCCACCAAACGGCGCGAATGTAGGCAAGGGTTTTTGTCCAATCACAGTTAGCTGTCAAACATTAAACGTCCAATGGTGTGACATTAGCTAATTTTCTATTGGACGAAGCTTGAGAGTCTCACACTAGTGCCATCTATTGAGCAACGGTAGGCCCCATTAGGTACACACATGTAATCCGGATCTAAAGATCAATAAGATATTAATTCGATGCAATGCTTTAATTACCAAGTCACGGTCTTCATTACTTGCGTTATCCTGTTACAAGTTAATTGGGATGCCTCTCATGAGTTTCTAGCATATTCTTACAATAATAAATAAATTATCATCGTTCCTTGAAGTGGTAGGCAGATAACTAGCCTTCAGGCACAGGGTGCTAACGTTAATTTAAAGAAGCAGGTTGCCAGGTTGCCGATACGGGCGATCCGAAGTATTCAACGCTGATTATAAAATTAACCAATCGGCTGTTATGGTCATCAATAAGGATAGAGTTCTATACTAAAATTTCATGTTGAACTAGGTTCTGCCAGCATCTTAGCCTGCGTTCCCGTGCTATATAAAGCGACCTGTTCCAAATTTCATCTGATCCCTTCAGCAGTTCTTTTCACCAACAATTGTACATACTAGTTACATAATAGATACATACTTTAGTGTTACAATCACTTAAAGGTAACCACCACATGCAAAGGTTGAACAAGAAGGACAAGACGCGAAAGAGTAACAAACACAGACATACATCCTCACGAACTTTCGCATTAGTAATATTAGTAGAATTAGTAGTGTTTTAAAATGTATAGTTCCTATTTCTTTTTTTTATAAAGTCGTGATAGCCTCCTACCTTTTTGGGAGAAAGACTGTGGGAGTTATACCTCACTAAAACAACCCCTCTGATCACCACCACCATCAGCTCCTATAAGAGGCAAATAGGTCTGAACTGACCAACTTCAGGACCCTAAATGCCAGTTCGGATTCCACATCAAATTAATACACCACACTAGTAATGGACTAGAAATCTTTATCTTCACCTATTGTTGTGACCTATTTAATCACCATAGCCCCTTTCTTTGTCCCCAGCACGATAAATACGACGTCGGCAGTGGAGAGCAATTCGACGATTTAGTTGGATTAATAGAACACTTTAGGTTGTACCCTATGATTGAGACTTCTGGCGACGTGCTGCGACTCCTGCAGCCGGTCAGCGGTACCCGACTCAGAGCACATGACATTGACCGCAAGGTGCAGGAAATGCAGGTAAGCAGGATTCTTTAATGAAAGTACTTCTCTCTTTGTATGATAAGTTGTTCAAGGATAAATTTATACATAGTTTAAAAATATAAATCACATGTTTTTCGTCAATATATTCACATCATTAGGAGAAATTGACAAGTACAATTAACAGTACATAACATAACATAACATAACATCACGCCTTTTATCCCCGAAGGGGTAGGCAGAGGTGCACACAGAAGTAACATCCACTTTTCATTATTAATGTTATGAGTCTCATGTAATAGGGGGTCAGTCTATTGCCATATACCGGGCACATTTCCAGACTCCGTGCTACTACTGAATTTTTTTAAAAACCCAGTAATACTTTGACCGACCCGGGCATCGAACCCGAGACCCCTTACCCGGCAGTTCCACTTGCGACCAGTTAGCCGAGGCAATTAACAGTACCTATATATATATTTTTTGATAAAGCCTGATAAGAAAAACAAACAAAAACATTTGAAATAGGAGATAAATAATGAAGTGTACCTAATTATAATTGTGTTAGCGACTGTATTAATACTATGTCATATTGAACAAAATATGCACATATAGGTAATTGTATGATAATCTATGAACACACAAAATATTCACAGAAATATGTATTATATCTATGGCAGAATCAGAATTATGTACACACATAAAACCTCGTACATAACGGGGGACTGAAAAGTAAAAACAAGTGCCCAATCATATCATATCAAGTAAAATGTTTACTTACAATGTCATTGTAATTTGTCTATATTCTATAGAGGTATATATAAAAGAAAGTCGTGTTAGTTACACCACTTATAACTCAAGAATGGCAGAATAGATTTGGCTAAAAATTGGTAGGGAGGTAGATTAGAGCCAGGAGACCGACATAGGATACTTTTTAACCAAAAATTTTTTTTTACTTTTTACCGAAAATCACGAACGGGGACGGGAAAAAAGTGGATTATGCGTACGAAGTCGCGGGCAGAAGCTAGTTTATTATAGAAGTGCTCCCTCCGAGACAATATAGGTACAGAACATCGACTACATTCTTAGGCTTTGTACATATAGGATACCATTGTCCCTGCCAGGCTGCATGTGCCAACCGACCTGAATTAACTTTGATTACCTGTTTCCTACATGAAGTTGTCAAGCCATTTGTCATTCAGAACGAATGAACAGAATTTATACAATCATCATATCATGAGTTGACAACGAGCTTTATTGTTTCGTCTGACATATAACTGAATAAAACATGCCATACTTAAGACGCAACCTATAGGCAGAGGCACGTGTACAACAACCTGCGCAGGAGTTGATAGGCATTTAAAAAAAATGCGCGCCGTTTCTGTGTTGCGTTCGCGCATAATGTATAACATGCCAGCCCCACCAGTTGCGCAATCCAGTGGGAAATTGTCATTTTTATTATTATTATTTATTTATTTACACCATTAATTTCATTGTCTGCCATAAATGAGACAATGAACATTTTAATTGTTTGTTCGTAGTTTTAATAATTTTGCTATCGTAGGTAAACAATGGTTAAGATAGACTGTGCTTGCTAGCTAGTCTTTTCTTTTGTTTAAAGGTTAGATGTATAAAAACATATATTTTAGGTCAAGCTCTAAGTGGGTTCATAGATTTTTTTCTAAGTTTAGGTACTGTAATTTGATATTTAAGTACAGGTGACTAATTAAGTGTCTAGATTCACCGAAGCGTATGTCAGACTTTCCAGACTTCGAAAATCTTGTCCATTTTAACATTTAATTCATTTTATTTCCAGGAGATTGAAGACTACCAGAAGTTGGACAACAAATGCGGCTTCGATGGAGAGTTTCAGTCGCTGAAGATGTTGGAAGATCGACACGTATTCACAAACTTTGAGGGAACCAGACCAGAGAACGCGCCGAAGAACCGATATAGAAATATATTACCATGTAAGTCAGTATATACTGCATATAGCTGCACCTGTTTAACTGTGAATAGAAACAGGATGTATTGAAGCAAGGCTTAGTTTGGGTATTATAATAGGGTAATTGCCTAAATTTCATTTTAATGTCCGTCTGGTAGATCAATTTAAAACATTAGACACGTATTTTTTCTTTTCTCATAAAATTAAATACTTTTGACGATATATTAATCTGAAATATCGTGTTTTGTGAAAATTCGTGAAAATTATGAAATATCGTCTTTGTGACGTAACGACCTCCCACTCCTAAACTTAACTTCAGTTTATTTAAGTATTGTAACTTTATACGAGAAAATAAAAAATACGTGTCTAATATTTTTTCATTATCTAACTGACGGACTAGTTAGATTTTTAATTTTCATTCCCTGGCAACTACCCTATTGAATGAAGGATCCAACTCGAGACAGTGGTTGCTTTCAAACTCACTTGCGATCTACATGGCTGCAAAAAGTATACCTACTTATGTATCTTCTGATAACTAATGACTATCATGAACTTTTGATTTTTCTACCTATTCCTGTGCAGTTTTACCTGTTCTGTTCTTCTCCTGTAGATCATAGCATGATGTTTTATAGCCTATATGTTATATAGCCTTCCTCGATAAATGAACTATCGACCATATAAATAATTATTCAATTCGGACCTTTTGTTCTGGAGATTAGCGCATTCAAACAAACAAAAAGCAGATAAATTCTTTATGAAATTGTATATACGATTTATTAACTTTTTAATATGTACCTAAGTATATACAACATCTACCATTGTGGTTTCCAGATGATCAGACGCGTGTGGTGCTTCGTCGGCGAGACAATAGGCCGGAGTCAGACTACATTAACGCGAGCTTTGTCAGATCTTCACGACTCAGCGACTCCTCCTCCTCCGTACAGTCCTCCAATGAGAGCCTGGACAGTGTTCAATGTAAGGAATATATCACGCTTCAATTTTTTTCCATATAATAAAGTATAAAATTTGAACATCCTATAAAATTTATGAATATACAGAAAGTAATTTGATACCGTGGGGGGATGTATTTTATATTAGAGCTCACTTTGTTATAGCTAGCTATATTATAATATACAATACTAGCGGACCCGACAGATGTTGTCCTGCATATCCACTTGAATGTATAAACAAAAATTCACTCAAATTCGTTCAGCCGTTTAGGTTAACTAACCTAGATACCGACTGTAGCGCCATCTGCCGGGCTGATTTGTGAATCTAAACCATTCCCATATCCCCTTGAACACACACAAAAAATTTCATCCAGTCGTTTGAGAGAAGTTCAGTGACATACACACTCACAGAAGAATTATATATATAAAGATTTCACCACAGGTCTGTGACGGCCTTTAATGAAATGCAATCCATAAAAAACACTGGAAAAATAATTTAGATAAAACTGGTCAACAGTCGGCATTTTGTAAAGACAGGAAACTCACAATTACAAATTCGATAACCTCCTTTCAATATGAACCTGCAAGCCTCGATAGATACCAATTAGGTATAATTTAGACGTAAATCTCCTACAATATGATCACTTGTGTACCTTGGTACTTCAATCTAAAGTAATTAGCAATCGCTTGAATACCTTGGGCGGTTGAAATATCGCGATGTTATTTATTCAAAGGAAAATTTTCTAAAAAAACACTTAAGTAAGTCTTTTTACGCTAGAGCTAGTAGCATCCAAACTTATGGGTATTGGGTACTTAACTTAAGCAAAAACACAATATTCCGACTGTTCAATACAATTAAATATAAAAAAATAATCACACTTTTATTAATTGATTTTATGGCCAATTTCATTTTAGTATTGTTCCAGTAAATTTTTAAGAAATAAGTATGCTGTTTGAAACTAAAAAACGTGACGTTACAATAGACAATCTCGTATGAAATCTATAGAAAGCTGTCGTTTTTGATATTTCGAAAAATTTATTGAATTTGACTAGTTGGCAAGTACCCAAGTTATACTGCTCATAAACTAAACGACAACTTAAGTACAAACACACCTGTCCAGTGACAAAGGTGTCACAATTCACAATTGATTTGCGGATCATATTAAAGAAATTTGTTTAGTCACGGCATCGATTCCGATTAGGGTTAAATAATGGCGTAATGCAACAGCGCATTACACTTTCTGAACTCTCACTTAATGGACGATACGCAGCAACCTCATTACGTCACTATTTCACGTTGTTATTCTGTAAGATGGTGATACTTCTCGGTCAAACCGTCCCATTCCAATTTTATAAAGCATCTAATATTTAGCTGTCAATAAATAAAGTATTTAATGTCCTCTTCGCATTTAAAACTAAACCTAAAACAAACAGTTCTAGAATACCTATTAATTTGAAATTGTGAATTGAATCAGAGTGAACAAAACAAAAGACTATCGATGGGTTTTATTGAATAAAATCATCGTAAAATACATTACATACAAAGGCATCCTATTATCGGGAAAAATCCCCTTTATCTTTAATGCGTCAATTGTTTATCGATACCTATATAGTATGTAAATTCGGTAACCGAACGCCAGACTGATCAGTTCGTGACCAGAATTTCTGAGAGACAAGGAAAAGTATCTGATTCTGTTTGGCCATAAACAGACACGTCATAAACTGTGATGAATATTAAAGAACTGCTACAAAGACAGTGTCATTAAAATTTTGCACGTATTTGCGGTTTTTGTAGTTTAGTTACTAGAAGAATAGTCACTGCTGGTTTGTCAGATTTCTATGTTTTACGAGATAGGGCAGTAAAAGAGCAGACAGGTCACCCGATGGTAAGCAATGACTTCACAGCTGGTGCGATGACTGGGCAACTGACTGCCGCGCAACGTGTAACGGATTTGATTCCCGCACGGAACAACTCTTTATGTGATCTATAGATTTTTGTCTCGAGTCTGGGTGTCAAGTGTATGTGAACTTATATGTTTGTAAACGCACCCACGACACAGGAGAAACTGATATGCTGGGGCAACGTTTTATTTAAAAAAAGTCAGTACTGCCCATCCCATGGACACGCACAATACGAATGGAGATACATGGTGTGTTATAGACCGTTTGAGAGGGAGTAGAGATATTGGTACACTGACCCATACATGGCGAAATATAACACAATGTTTTTACCTCGGTTTTCTGTGAGGCAGCACACCCGTCGAGCTAGTCATTCGTGCAGAAATACGACTATCGACACCTTCAATTCCCGGAGATATTTTGAGCAGTACGCTAAACTAGCAAATAGGAAAAAAATATTGGAAATGGTAAAAATCACTACATAGTATAAAACAAACAAAGTCGCTATCCGCCGTCTGTCTTTTCCTATGTACGCTTAGATCTTTAAAACTATGCAACAAATTTTGATGCGGTTTTTTTTATAGAAAGAGTGATTCTTAAACTGTCAAACACCAAGCGGTCACCGGTGACCGCAACCTATTGTTTTTTAATTGTGTCTATAAATACGGTACTCGACGAGCTAAGAAACGTGTAAATGTATGATCCGTGGATATTGCACCCGTGTGAAGCCGGGGCGGGTCAGTAGTGTTAAATAAACTAAAAACAATTCATTTTATTAAATAAAATATTCATAATACAATGTTTTTATCATTACAGCCCTGATACTGAACAGTGAGTCAAAGAAGGCACCACCTTTAGTTTCCAAGTCCCTTTCAGACGAAGCTTTGAGGGAAGTGAAAAAGTGTTTAAAACTCGACAAAATTAATGGCAACCTCTGTCGCGACGTAACAGGTGAGATAATTCATCTTTCATAAATACAATTAATTAAATAGTTTAACATACTCACGGGCTTATATGAGTCTGACACAAAATGTTATACTCCATGCTGGGCACGATTCCAGCCTCCGGGCTTTTGAAGATGAAAAGGTGTGATGATAGCCTGTTGTAGTGTTTCTGTTGCTGGTTGTGTCGTATTCCTCAAAACTGATGGTCTTGACCACCCTTCTCAATTCATGCATCAATTTCTCCATCTAATTCCCATAAATGAAACATGTCCTTTCGTAATTTCAGTAAAAGACAAAACTTACATTGCTGCTCAAGGCTGTCTCTCCAACACAAAAGATGACTTCTGGCGCATGATATGGCAGGAAGACGTCAGGGTGATAGCTATGATCACTAATGAAGTGGAAAATGGCAAGGTATGTGTTATATGTAAGGACAAATGAACAGGCGGATCACCTGATGGTAAGCAGACAGCACTGTTTAAAGACACCTGCAACACCAAAAAATATTACAACTTCATTACTAGACTATGGACGTATTCTACATAAGATGGTTTGCCATAATCTAAGCGCTTGGCCTAAATGAGTTGAAGATCACTGTTAAAACGGTTCAGATTTATCCCAGAACTCTCGATCTCTGTTAAATTTAATGTGTATTAGTAGTTATTAGGCTCTCAACACTCGCGAAATGAATAGTGTCAAAGTCAAAGTCAAAGCATTTATTTCAATTATGCTTATTATGGCGCTTTTTAAACGTCAAAAATTGAATTGGCATCCGTGTGTCTGTCAGTGAAGCTAGGCGCTCGTTCCAAAGTTTAGATTCAAATGGAGAAGAACGAGCAAGTAACTCCATCGTTTCTCTTTTATAAAAAAATGTTTTTTACATTCTCATGTGTACATTATCTGATCATTTACTTAATGGATATATATGTGAAAACGATGTAACGACAACAATGTCAAAATTCAATAAGTGATGACCGTGACCGTCACACAATAGATGATTTTTGCTTAGTGATCACTACTTTTATACTTCAACAATATTTAATATTTTTTTTGCAGAGAAAATGTGAAAGGTATTGGCCGTTGTCTGGACACGAGGAGAGGTTCGATGGTCTCATAGTCAAGGCTATCTCAGAGACACATTATGAAGAGTATCTTCTTCGCGAGTTCGATGTCAGTGACGACAAGAACTGTCGAACTGTCTTCCAGTATCAGTTCACTGTAAGTACTTCTTCTTCTTCTTCTTATAGTGCCACTTCATTCCTGAAGGTTGGCCGTCAACTTTTGGAATTGGTCCGTCATTGGCCAGGCGGAAAAGTTGTTCTACAGAGCTGATATCAGTCCACTCCCGAATATTGCGCAGCCACGACTTTTTCCTTCTCCCAGCGCTTCTCTTTCCTTCCACCTTACCCATCATTATAACATGTAGCAGCATGTATTTGTCATGTCTCAGTAAATGTAAGTACTTGGTGTCCTATATTATGCCATTTTTTATACTTACCACAGTGGCATATAACCACACGACCCACGATGGTAAGTGGTTACCGTGGCCTGTGAAAGCTTGCAACACTTGGGGCATTACATTTTAAAGTAAATAGTGATTTATCTAACAAGAATATTTTGATTTAAACTACCCTAAAATGTAAACAACTTATCCTATAATGTTCCTTTACGATGGAGCTTCTAAACAAGCAATATTTTTCTGTAATAATGCGTGAATTGTTAATGCAAAGACAATATTGCAAATGTTTTTCGGGTACGTGGTACGTTGCAGATATACTTTTTGTGTATTGCAGTAATAGGGATGATGACAGGGTATGAAAACTAAAAATCTATTAAGTCCGTCAGTTAAGTAACGAAAAATATTAGACACGTATTTTTTTATTTTGTCGTATAATAAAATAATACTTAGATAAAATGAATCAAAGTTTAGTAAGTTTCTAAAAGAAAATGTACATATAAGTGACGTCACGCGACATTTCAAGTCTATTCGTCAAAAGTATTCGTTTCTGTAAGAAAATAAACAATACGTGTCTAATGTTTTAATATAATCTACCAGGCGGACATTAAAATAAAAATTGGGCAACTACCCTATTGCAGAATATACATCTACACCCCATTCCCTTTGTTTAGAAAATGACAAAATAACAATGTCTACTTTCACTTTAGGAATAAACTTAAACGAATTAAAGCAATGAAAACGGCATAAACAGACCAAAGTACGTAATAAATCAGTAATAATGAAATTAATTATGTTTCAAGGCATGGCCCGACCACGGTACACCCGGTGACCCTGATGGAGTGCTGTCCTTCATAGATGACATCAACCGGAGAATGATAAAAAATTCACAAGAATCTGATGCTCCAGAACAGGTAAAAATTTAAATACTTACAACTATTTTATGTTAATTAATGTATAAAATAATATAACATAACATACCATCACGCCTTTTTCCCCTAAGGGGTAGGCAGAGGTGCACATTACGGCACTTAATGCCACTGTACATTGTAACACCCACTTTTCACTATTTTTATGTTATGAGTCCAATGTAATAGGGGGTAAGCCTATTGCCATATACCGGGCACATTTCCAGACTCCGTGCTACTACTGAGATTTTAAAAAACCCAGTAATACTTTGCCCGACCTTAAAAATATTATGTATATTACCTTTTTGAAGGCTATCTCACTAAAATCACTTAAATCACCATCACCATCCCTACACAGGTACATCAATTAGTACATCACCCCTTTCCAAAGCTATAAAAATATGTTTGCAAAGATTTCCACTTGATTTAGGTAGGTCTACATAGGTAGACATAAATTTACAATTCGAAATATGATTATATTTCAAGATTTAACCTCTTGTTTGTATGTATATTCGACCTCACCGTTCGCTTGATAAAATTGACGTGTAAAAGTGCTGCCTTGTAGCCTATTTTCAGAAATAAAATCACTTGTTTCACAATAGAAAAGAAATGGTGTCCCGCGTAGATCTACGCATAAGAAAACAAAGCAATGCATATTTGCCTCTGATCCTGAAAAAAAAACCTATTTTTTCCCTCTTTAAAATGACGTTTCCCTAACTTAACCACTTTGAACGACAGTATTACATACAAACGTTACAAGTGTACGTAATTATAATTAACAAAAGTTTATTGTTGACAAAATTTGCAACGCCTGAAAAAGGCCGTTAAGCTGTGCCTGTTATTTCATAAGACCTGTATGTATTAGGTACCTTAACATGCAAATAAAGAGTTTGAGTTTGACTTGTTTATATTTTTATCAAATCTTCTAACTCATTTTATACAGGTGCTAAAACATCAAGTTTAACTTTTCAGAACATCCTGTGTGTGCATTGCTCTGCTGGCGTCGGCAGGACGGGCACATTCATAGTCTTGGACATGCTAATCGATAGAATAAAGACATCTGGTGAGATCTAACACTGTATTAAAGCATTATGTTCCTTATTTCCTATTCAATAAATTGTACTCATGCGAATTACTTAATTTTGTTTGCTATTGCTCTATTCTGTAAGCGATTTTTTTTGTATTTTTAATTCAATGGCGATTGTTCTCAAGTAAATGCTGTGTTTCATAGTCTTATGTGAAATTATTATTTCTAGGATTCAACTGTGACATCGATGTGCATTCCACTGTGAAGCTGGTGAGGGCACAGCGCAACGGTATGGTACAGAATAAGATGCAGTACAGGTTCATTTACCTGGCACTACAAGAATACATTGATGGAAGAAACATCAAAATGAGAAAGAAGGTGTGTTACTTTTACCATGACTAGAAGAGTAGGGTCTTATCAATTTTAGTTAACGTAGGTATATACTATGATATTGTGGCGACACATGTTACAAGTCAAATGACAGTTCACGCACATAGACTAACAATGAAACAAATCAACTTATGACGTCACAAAATCTTACATCGCACATGTAAAGTTTACATGCGAATTAGCATGGATAGAAGATCCCAACTAAACTGTTGGTCGGAGGATCCTCCTTTTTCAATCTTAGGGAACATTACTCTCATTATTATGTGTATTATCTTATAAAAACACCGATTTATTCACGTTAAATACTGACAAAATATAATAAATACTCTACTAGTTTCAAGTCACAAAGGGACTCTGTCTTCGTGCCTAATCGATAAAACCGGTGTTTATAAAGCGGGTTTTTAATTAACTTAGTATGTTTGCATAGTTAATATAAAAATAATGATATCAAGCCTCTAATTCTATGAAGACATAGCCCTTCTCTCGAGTAATGAGTACCTACCACGCTGTGGTTTTAGAAATTTCTCATACGGCATTTACGCTTTTCGTGTTCAATAAAATTAAAATCAGGATACAGGACAAGAAGTTTAGAATTGTGCCTGATGTTTGACATTACATGGGAGTTTTTAACGTAATACATAGTAAAAATGAATGAAATGAAGTAGAAGTACATCTAACATCTAAAATTTCATATTAATATTTAATTAATATGAAATTTTAATTCTAAAAAATACCCTAAAATTTTGAGGAATAAAGGACGTGAAAGATAATAGAGGGGTACGATAAGTACTGTGATTTCTACGTGGAAGTCAACCGGTAATTAGTTTTCCGCATGGCTAATGGCAATTACTATGTAAAATTTTCTCTTATTTGTTTTTTTTATCATTGACGAGTGTATTTTTCCAACCAGATGCGGGTGAATGTGAATATTTTATGCGGAGCGACTGACCGTTTGACTTCCTCAACTCAATTGGTCGAGATACCAATTTCATAAGGTTAGACCAGTTGCTATAGTTGGCTAATGCCAATGGCTAATGTCAACTAGTTATTATTTTTGTTTCTAAGTGTATATTCTTCTTTTTCTTTATAATATAAATTATGTAAAGTGGTGATTTTCCTATGACTAGGAGAAAAATGAATATTATCTACCTTTTACTAAATTCTTTTTTTCTCTTCATTTATTCTTAGCTTTTTCCCTATTAGTTTTGGGGTCGGCTTTCAACGGACTTTGTTAAATATCTGTTTTAGTAGAGATGTTCCTATTTTATAAAAAAATTAGAACTATTCCTCTGTATTCGACCTCTGTTAAAAATGAGTTCGTATTTCCTATTTGAAAAATGTTTCACATAAGTAGTCTACTTTTGTTGTGTCCTGGTAATTGCGACTGCATGAGGTGATCAATAATAAAACGATACATACATAAGGACCTATGTAAAATCGCTGTTATTAAATTTGACCAATGACTGTCTATTGTAATTTTATAAGTCTGTGCTTAGGTATATTTTCATTGTTGATATTGTTTATTATTGTTTACTAGCTTGTGCCCGCGACTTTGTACGCGCAATCCCGTTTTCTCCCGTTCCCGTAGGATTATCAGGATTTTTTTCTGTCACAAGAACCTTCTCCTGATAATAACAAACGCAACAAAGAAAAAATATCAGCCAAATCGGTCTAGCCGTTCCCAGGTTATGGCGTGACAACGGGAAACGGGTTTCATTTTTATATATATACTAGCGGACCTAACAGACGTTTTCCTGCATATCCATTTGAATGTATAAACAAAAATTCATTCAAATTAGTTCTGCTGTTTAGGATAAATAACCTAAACATCGACTGCAGCGCCATCTACCGGGCTGATTTGTGAATCTAAACCATTTCCAGATCCCCTTGAACACACACAAAAAATTTCATCAAAATCCAATCGTTTGAGAGAAGTTCAGTGACACATACACACTCACAGAAGAATTATATATATAAAGATATAGATTTTATTTTTAGCCATAGTCGTCCCACTGCAGGTTAAAGGCCTCCCTCCTACCACTCGTCTCTTCTTAAAGCTTTCTGTGGCCAGTACTCTTCATTGGCGTCAAGTTCATCAAGCCATCTCCTTCATGGCGCTTACTCTTGAAACCAATCTCAATTTCAATGCAATTTTGATCCAATAAAATCTCAATAATTATTCAATGTCAACATTATACAACCACAATCGTAGCTGTTACAATAGCATTCAGAGTACGAAATATAAAGCCAAACTCAATACCATTTAGTTCATTCAATATCCATGCAACACCGATGCAATGGGCGCTAGTGTTGCAACTCGAGAGTACAAAATTTCACAATATCAATGTCGATCGATCGGAATTGGATTCAAGAGTAAGCCCCCTGGACCTACCGCGACGTCTTGACGTTGAGTGGGCTCCACTCAGTAATGAGTTTTTCCCACCGCTCGTCTGACATGCGGCAGACATGACCAGCCCAGCTTAACTTAAAGCTAGCGGCTTTATGACCAATGTTTTGTTGTACGTTTTATTTTTTAATTATTCCGAAAGTATTTGATAACAACACATAGTCTACAAATGTGCCAAGTATCGCTACTTCGTCTTTTAGATGGAACTCGTGTCATAACTGGTAAAATATATTTATCTTAAATACATAACATAACATCACGCCTTTTTATCCCCGAAGGGGTAGACATTTCGGCACTTAACGCCACTGTACAATGTAACGCCCACTTTTCACTATTTATGTTATAAGTCCCATGTAATAGGGGGTGAGCCTATTGCCATATACCGGGCACATTTCCAAACTCCGTGCTACTACTGAGATTTTTGAAAAACCCTGTAATACTTTGCCCGACCCGGGAATCGAATCCGAGACCCCTTGCCCGGCAGTCGCACTTGCGACCACTCGGCCAACGAGGCAGTCATTTATCTTAAACTGGGTGTCTATTTCCCGATGTTCCCAATGAATGTTTATTTTATACAAACATACATACTTTTTCCTAACAATATAGACAGTTTTGTTCGTACATCCATATTCGTGATCGTTTTTTACTAATAACAAATGTTAGTATCATGTCTAGGAATTTAATTTTTTACTAAACTTTTATATTTGTCTTTTACAGGTCTACACGTCAGATGCGTGAATAAAGAAACAACCAAAGTTGAAGAATTTAGTGTTAGTGATCATAGCTATTTATAATTTAATTATTATTAGTGGAACCATGTATCCAGTCAGTCATTATAATTCATATTTAAGTCTTTTAATAAATGTCTGTGTATGAATAGGTAACTGTTTTATTTGCCCTAAAATAATGCATGTTGTTCATTTTTTGATTAGAATTTGGTTTAGTGGATTTCGGATTCAATTCCTGGGTCTGCTTTGAGGTCAGTAATCACGATGATTTTCTTCCAATAATATTATATACATATTTAAAATTCCTGTACACAAAGGTACCAACAGTTCGTACTTCGGAAGTTGGAAGGAAATGACATCAGAAATGGATTGCTGGGTACAAAATACAGATGTCGCTGTACTCAATTAAAGCGGCCAACGATATATCTATGCATATAAAATAAATTCTGTATATAGTATTTCGGTAGGAAGTTAACATCAATTACTTTTTATGTTAACTTTAATTAGAATTAATTACTTTAATGGGTCATTTGTTAATGGCTTTCTTATATACTATGAAGTCCTGGTACTTCTTAAAAATAGGGTAGAAGATAAATTCATTAAGGGATGTGTAATAAAATAGGGGGTCTTTTTTTAAATTGTAGTTGACTAGGGCGACAGAAAAATAATTAAGAATGTTGATCATTTGGTAATTGTGTAAACAAAGCAGAAAAATATATTATTAATGACATTTTTGTTTCTCCTATAAAATATGTAATTAATGAATGTCGTTTCGTTTCAAAAATACGACATTTTCTCACAACGTAATTGGACGTATAACATACTGAATGAGGTGTTTTAAAAATATTCTCAGTGTCATTAAAAATATACTTCTATCAGAAAATGATTAAGATGTGATAGGATGATTGGAATAAAATTAACCTGTTGAAATATCTGAAATATCATCCCCTAAATATGTTCATATAAAAGTAGTCTATATATTTATATATATATACAAGTATATGTCTGTTTGTCTTTTTTTAAAAAAAACGTTGCCCCACAAAAGGCTTTTCTTCTGTGTCGTGGTTGCGTTTACAATCATAAAAGTTCACATACACATGACACCCAGACCAGAAACAAAAATTTGTGGATCACACAAAGTGTTGTTCCGTGCGGGAATCGAACCCGCGATAAGTTGCATGGCAGCAGTTGCCCAGCCACCGCACCAACCCTGCAGTGCATATTGGTTAAAGAGTGGGTTGCTTAATTTTGTGTACTTGTGTTGCAGAAAAACAATGGTACCTATACATTTTTAATGATTACAATAATGCCATTAGCATTTTAATAATGCAAGGAATGTCTATTAATAAATGAAACAACATTAAACTTTCTTTATTTATTTCACATTAAAACATTTCAAGCTATCTTGATTTAACTATTACACAATTAACATGATTTTTTATTAAAACTAAACAAATCGTACTTAATCATAATTAATTATATTAACAATAGATTATCATAAGTTGCTTTAAGCTAAAATCATTCGCAGATAACCATTAATAATCTACAAAAGATTTAAATTAATATAAATAGCTATAAAAACATGTCAAAGTTTTTCGCTTTAAACATCATCAAAAATGGGTAAATGAACTAAGTAAAAATACTAGAAAAATACTCACAAATATAAAAGAAGCAATGATTTGGCACGTTACCGTAAATGAAATTAAAAAAAATGTGAAACAAAGACAATTCCTTAATGTCCTATTTATTCATAGATACGTTTACAATGACTAAGCTTAGTTTTCGAAATTTTAAATATATTCAGTGTTTAAATTTACTCTTAAGATTTTGGGAGCCCGCTAAGTACCTTTAGGAAGATCTGTTAAAAATATGCGACCTTTTTATAGATCATTAGGTCAGCATAAGCAGTATTTTTTTTAAAGTGAAGTAATTTGTAATATCCCTCTAACGAGAGATTTTTTTTCAGCTGTGGATATTTTGTGTCTTACCTGATGTTGCCGATAATTTATATATAATATATATATATTTAATTAACCATAATGAGCTGAGCTCATGGCTCGTGCGTAGGCTATACGGGAAATGCCCAGTGCCGTCTCCAAATCGAACCCAATCGAGTTTTCTACAATATCCCAATAAAGTAGGGTTTCTTAATCTTGTAGCTATGCTTATGATACCAAGGAAACTCTCAAAATCCTAAAAGTATTTTTAACACCTTATAATATTTTCTACACAATATTTTTTTCTATTTCAATGCATTTGAAGTATAGTGATTTATTTAGGCTCAAAAAGCGTAAAATTATAATCAATTATACATACGTATATATATAAATAATAGTATTTTTTAGATTTTGTCTTGCGAAGTTCCCAGTGCTTGTATTTAAGTGATATTTTGCAACGTACTTTAGAGAAGCGCGAAAATTTATGAGTTTTATATGTAGGGTGACAGGATTTAGAACCGAATATAGCAATTTGGTATACGTAGGACGATATAATTATTAAATTAAGCTTTTTATTTTTGGAAATAACGTACGTCATTGATGATTACATTATTTACATGAAAATGATCGTAACTTCAGTTTATTTTCATTATTTTATATTACTTTGGCATGAACATTTTCCGATTACTTGTAATTCAAATTGAATTGGAATTAAAAATGAAAAATTGAATATTATCAATTTTATTCTTTTGACTAGTTTGAAGAAAATGCTCTGGTATATTTAAAAAATATGATTGCAAATATTCAATATAATATATAATGCAAAAATTATTACCAGTTGAGGGTCAAACTTTAATTAGCAGTAAATAAAGCATAAGAATTACTTACATAGTGTCCCAAACTATTTAACTCGAATAAATTAGTAAATAACCGGCCGTATATATATATGCGAATTTGCTACAGGTTTAAATCCAGACACCCTATATATCTATGACTAAAGATCTAGAACTATTACATCATTCTAATGTAGGATATAATTCGAATCTAAAAATAAGATTATTTTATACAACAATAGTCGATTTATAAGTTTTTTTCGCTAATTTTGACCAATATGCATATAATTGATAGGTTTCATGATAACAGTGTGTGACAGTATATAATTATCTAATATTGTTGACGGTTGCGAGTATTGAGTTGTATATAAAAAGTCGCAGCAAAGACGGTAACATACGGACATACAAATAAATATTAGTTAGGAAATTAGCCACGATATTATATAGAATGTAGTAAAAATTCAATTCTTATGCATTTAAATTAGGTAACTTTTCCTTATCACAGTCGATTATTATATTCCAAATATACATAAATATCTTTTAATGAGCCGTCAAGAATATTAAATAGTTTCCTAAAAAGTAGAAGGTAAAGTAATTTTGTAACATATATATGTTTACTATACAACAATCAGTTCGTTGTATATGATGGCGTATCGAGGAACCATATTTTTAAGTGTTTAGAGATCCGTATATACAAAATGATCTTTATTTACTGCTTATATAGACACTTATATATATTGCGAAACTTTGGAAGGATGTCATATGGTTAACCCATTTGTATACAGTATATTATATGCTGAGTACTAGACCGTTGTTTGCATTTTAGTCAAACTGTTCAGTCAGTAAAGCCAACATATTTTTTGAATCGGTAATAGTTCATTTTATTAATGTTTCTCTGGTACAGTATAATAAGTAAAGATCTTCTCATATACACAGATCTCATACGATTCTATGATTTGTAAATATCGTTGCTTATTTCCGAAAACGCAGTGTTTAGAGCAGAATAGAATTTTGGCACTCGGTATATAAAGGACTTAGTGTTAGTCATTACAATTATAAGAAAATGTTTACCAGCTAAATTAGGGTAAGTATAGTTACTTTTAAAGTGATCTATATATAGATATATATTGATAAGTAGAGTTCTGAAACTGGTACCTATCTGCGCGCAGAACGAATCGACAAAACTTGCAAGACAGAGCAGTGTGCACGAGAATACTTCTATCATGGATTATTATTACTGGCTACACATTCATTATAATGATTATATAGTGTTCCTATAAGTTAATAAGTATGTTTTTTTTTAGTTATTTTGATCATCAATTAATTATTTTCCAATATTTTAAAATATTTCATATTTCCGTTGAACTTGCTTGAAAGTCGTCGTTTTGGGAAAAAAGCATGCGGGATACAAACTTAATGACGACAGGTATGAAAACTAGGTAACAAATCTAGTAGAAATTAGCAAACTTCATGTACCTAACGTAAAAAAACTAAGTACAATTAATTACTAACAATATTATGTATAAATAGGAGCCCTCGCGCATTCTGTAGTCGGTGCCTATGCTGGCGGTCGGTGCGGAGCGCGGCCAGCCGGCAGTGGCGGGCCGCGGCCTGTCGACGCGGCGGTGGCACGGCTCGTACGTACGTACGACGCGTTTATTATAAATACTGGTAATAGACCCGTAATGCGACAGTCTCGTCGCATCATGCGCGTGATCTCTTAAACAGATATGAAGCATCGACTACAAGGTCACAGTATGTCAGTCTCGTAAACCTTATTAGTAGTGGCCACAGTGTCGGGCAGTCTGCCCTTCTCGGTGGTCATTGTCCCGTCAGCGTGGCGTTCGTGGTCGCCGGCTAGGTGCGTCATGCTGCCGGATGCGGCCGGCGCTATGTTCAAGTTCATTTTACTCAACAAGTTGGACTCGCTGCCTGTCTTTTTGAGGTCGGGCTGTGCAGTAGGTGGCAACGTGGGACCGCTCCGTTGTATCATTTGCAGCCTTGCGTACTGTTCTTGCAGCGCTTTTTGTTTCTTCAGCAGCTCTTGATGTCGTTGTTCAAGGGGTGTGTTTCGACTGGTGGCCTTGTCGTCGTCAGAAGTTTCGGAGGGGTGCAGGGTTAGAAGGCAGGGGTCGGGATCGCAGCGAGGAGGTGAGGCGGGCGAAGTCGGCGAGGCGAGCGGCGAGCGCGAGGTGGTGCGCGGCGGCGGCGGTGGCGGTGCGCGGCGCGCGGCCATGGCGAGCAGCTCGGGGTGGCGCTCGGGCACGGGCGGCTTGGGCGGGTGCTGGCCGCGCGCGCGCACCGGGGGCGACGCGTCCGTGTCGCTGCCGCTGGGGTAGGAGTGCAGACGGCGCAGGGGTCCCTCGCCGCGCCCGCTGCGCTCCGCCGGCTTCGCGAACGTCTGCAGTTCGTCTAGTAGCGCATCGAGGGCGTTTTCTGGCCGCACGTCCGCTCCCCGGCTCGCTCCTCCTCGCCCGACGCACACGCCGCCGGTGCCCTGCGCACCATTCCACGCACTTCTAGCTGTGCTCGCCGATCTCCAACAGACATTATAAAAGAGCGGTTGCAGGTATGCCCTAAACTTCGATGCTTGGTTAGTTAAACAAACATTCAGCTAACATCTAATACTTGAAAGCACATTGCAACCGCACTTTTATTTAGACATAAAAACACTGATTCAAAACATTTAACACCGCATTCAGTCCATTGAAGACACTTAGAATAAGACAATACTATGTCTGAATGCGACCACAATCATTCAAAAAGAATAAAATAGTAACGAAAAAGGCGAATGCCCTTCTTCTTTGCCGTCGAATAGGTAACATGTACGACAATTTAGTGAAATACTATGGTAGGTATTGTTAGAATTACATTTGAATTTATAGAAAGCATGTACAAATGAATTTAATAATCGAAATACTTGCAATGTTTTATTCGACGACAAAAATGAAAAGGAAGTATAGACGAGCTGCCTAAAACTAGTGGGAAGTAAAACCGAAACGTGGTGGAATAACTTTGGAACGTATAGATTTACAGGTGAGGAAGTAAGATTTGATAATTATTAGAGATACATATAAACAGTTAGATACATTGGTTTGTCGTGACATATAGCGCAACGAGTTAATTTGGTGACTCAACAATTATGGAAAGAGAACAAACTTTAAAATATCAGAGACGTGTTTACTCTTAACAATTGTGATGATTTTGCCATTAGTCAAAAAAAATATAAAGTGTATAGTACGTTACCGGCAATCTGTATAATTTGGTATTCTATACAATATGCGTGTGACTGTATGAAATACGTATTTCAATTTCAGAATTTGCCTAAAACCAGCAATTTTTGTGAAAGATGAAAATAACGGTCTTGCATAATTATTATCCATCTGTTTAATAATTATCATTATTACAATAACATATACAACACTCCTCTTTCTGTTTCTGAACTAAACCAGTCAACGGATTTTATTCCAGTTATCAATTGTAATAAAAACATTTTCATTGAGTGATAAACCTGTCAATATAATGACTCCTATTTCACTAGCTGAACAGAATAAGATTGATCAAAATAATGTGCTTGCGTTTTTCACAAAAAAGCCTACAACAAAGTCCATTATGGCAACAAAGCAATGACCCTCTGGTTTGGTTGTTGTCGCCCCACTTAGCATTCTTCGAGGGGACCTTACTACACTAAGACTCAAAATACATCGACTATACACTGCTTCCTACAGGTTGAAAATCATAAAAATCCCCCAAAAAGCAAAATTTTTGTTACTATCGTCTGTTACATGTTTATAATTATTACCTAACCAAATTAAACGTTCGTACCAAATTTAATGGTCAATATCGATTGACTTTTACTGCCTATGGGCTAGGAAATGATATTACAATTGAAGGTTTTAAGATTGGATCTAATACGTACCGTACGTAAAATGAACGAAGTACCTATGTTCATAATATTTCATACATTGCCCCGGTATATTATACTATGCCAAGGTATTGTACAGAATGCCGGCATTATACACATTACTAGTAAATATATAATTATATATTGGATAATATTACTTATTCAGCCGTAACAGTATACTACCTACTAAAGGAAGCTATGTCAAAGTGACATTTTTAATCAAAAACTAATCTAAGAAAAGCTCAAAGTGGAATAATTGCAACCGCTACTATGATCAAAACATTGCCATCGTGTGCAAATGGTGGTAATTCTCTTTATATTACTTTTACGTAACGACTGTACCTATATCGAAGCGAATACAATTTTTCCAAATTATAATTACCTGTGCTCCATCGAGGTGTGTTTAGCAATATAATAATTTAACTATTTTATCAACAGGGGATAGATTTTCAAAGGGGTTAGGGAGGAGCACAATGTATCTTCAATAATTAGAAATGTTTAAGAAAACAAAATAGATATTGGAATGTGTCAAAGAGAAAAATCGAAAGTGGAAGTCACGTCGAGGGTTAGGGTTAGTAGCAGGAAGGAGTGTGATGGAGTGTTGTTTAAGGCAATTCATTCATGTCCGGAAGAATCTGGCTGTGAGCTGCTCCTGATATCGACAATGCGCTGCAACAAAATAGAAAACAGCAAGATGCACAAACTATTGTTTTAAAAGCAACTACAGTAAATTACACCATGCATGTTACACTATCTATTGACGTCGACGTTGTGTTCATATTTCACGGACACACAGATATAATGAAAATCCTACGAATCAAAAATAAAGTAAAGGAAATCATCGAAATAAAATGTATAAAGAAATAATCAAGAACATGAGAGAAATATGAACACACGTCCGCATTATGTGCTTCGTGTAACACTTCAATTTTGTGAATTTTAAAACAAAGTGATAGTAATTACGTAACTTTGTAATTTTAACTTGAATGTTAGCAGATACCTTGATCTAGGAAAAATAGGATTTACAATGATGGAAAACTTAAAACGGCTAACTATTGATAATTTACACAAGTAGTTACTACAAAATCCACTAGCCTGTATTCAACACTGAAAAAGAAAATCTCTCCATGCGGAGGTTGGTTAATAGATTTTTGAGAACACGCTTGTTCAATTTAAAAAGAAAATATTTGTATAAATGCCAATGTCTTTAAATCTTTCGTCCATGTCGTAACAGAAGCGATTTCATGGTATAAATGTTATGACCGAAGAAATCTTGAAGGTTGGAGAATGGCAAAGATCCTTTTTTCCTTGACCACGCGGGCAAAACCGCTGTACAGGTTTATTTTATCAATAACAGGGTTTCACTATGTTTTCCTTCATCATAAAAGTGGTGTTTAATATCACACGAAAGTACATAGCCTATGTGGAGTGAACACTTATGTGGGGAAAATCATCGAGTGACTTCTCCAGCCTGGGTGAGGCGGGAGGGAGTGTCATACTCTTACTGACTAAAAACCACCCCGTTCCTACTCCTGCACTTCGAGCTGGAGCCCCGGCAACCCGTTAAGTCCTCCGCGGCTCCGTATCGGCATCAGCCCTATTGGGAACCATTCGTGGTGGGCAGTTGGCTCTTTGAGGCGCGCGCGGAACGCGACGCACCGTACGGTCGGGTCTGGTTCTGGTCGGGCGGCGAGAACCCATGCTCGCCGTCCGCAGGCCCGCACTATTAGTTTAGCTTAGGTGTCTATTTTCAAATTGATAACTAAGTAGGTAATTATCAACATTAGCCGGTCTAAGTAGGTAATATTTCGACTCAAATTATATATTATTTAAGGTTCTGTTAACATTATAAGTTTTTAGTCAATTATTTCAATTTTAATTAGATCTAGTAACTATTGAGTTACAATCACTAGCAATGAATTAATTTTACTAATTAGGTTTTTACACAAAATTAAAAAATCGTATATAGTTCCATAATGTAATAGCGATTACTAGCAGTATGAATTTGTTGTTAAAGTATAGATTTCATTGCTCGTGGCTGTATGTTCTAATGGCATGCTCCGTGCAACAACGTTAAGTTCAATTAGATAGATCGGTTATAGAAGAGACTTGGAATGTAAAAAAAAATAAAGAACTTTTTACTATTCAGGGAATATTGTGATCAGTATATTTTTGTCTTAAAGTGAAAGTGTTGCTTGTTGATAAAATTTTTCTTTTCATCGTTATTTTCAACATCCCAAGTGTCTCTCTGCATGCCATTGATTAAAGTAGGCCCAATTTAAATTCATTATTATGAAACCCAATATTAAATTGAAAATTTAGAAAAATTGTAAACGATGCAAGTTAGCAATCAACTTTTAACCGAATCACAGCTTCTATGAGACATTTACTCACACGACTATGACAATAGCGAATTCGGTCAAAAATTGTATCATTGGCCCGTGTTACTTTAGATTAAGTGTTAAAATTTAACTAATATCTATTAAAGCGGAAATTTTGTTAAACTATAAACCATGCCTTGTTGCAAAATCGTACAAATCCGCTCCAAAGATATCGTTAAACTTTAAATTAAAGAGTTATATTCAGATTTATAGTTCCATTTACTTTTATTAATATTGTAAGCATGCGTACCGATTTTTTCAAAACTGTTCGAACTGGAAAAAATATGTTAAATTTCTATAAGTTTTTCCAATGTACAATATACAGGGTTACAGGCTAAGTCGACTTAGCTTCTTTCAGGAGTTGTAGCAGACATATCTTCTGATCGCTAAGATTAAGAACAATACCGATTTTATGTTCACAATGTCTTTTTTGTGTACTTTCGTACGAATTCGATAAGTTAAAATAATCATAGTGAAAGTTATACAAGGAATGAGGAGGGAAAGTACAAATCGATTCATCTCATTTACAGATATAATTTGAACTGCATGTAAAGAATTTGGCCCGGTTGAATCGAGAATAGATAAAACATATTCTTGAACTTCATTGTGCTAGTCTTGAGAAAGAAAGAGAATATGAAGAATTATTTGATGTTAAATTACAAGTCGGAACGTAAAGGCGGTATAGTTTTGGGTGGGGATACTATGAGTCAGATGATAAGTCAGAAACTATGTCTACTGCACTCCTTCAAAGGATCCAGGTCTACTTAACCTCTAACCCTGTATATCAGTCAATCAAGCGAATTTGGACAAAATTTTATTTGTTAAGCGGAGTTATAAATTCAGTGCACCAACATGCCTACAGAGATAATAAAGCAAAGATTTGTTATAAAATTATATAAAAATAGACGATGGAATATATTGAAAAATAAAATATAATAATAATAAAGTAAAATTACAGATGTAGAATAAAATATAGAAATAAATAATTTAAACGTATTTATGAATAATAATGGATAATTATAGTATTATGAAGAGATTTTATTACTCGTTAACAACAATAGCTTCCTTGAAGTTTAAACTGTCTCTCCAAGCGTACTGCCGCGTGTACCATCACGGAAAAAAGACGATGAAATCCATTGTTAAAACAATTTGGTAATGACACAACATAAAAATATTATAATGTATAAGAGATATTGTGGCGTAGCGTTTGGCATAAGTCTCAACTGCTGTGACCAGCCCACGTAACCAAATTCAGTAACGCCTATCGTAATGGCTTTAGAAAGGAAACAAATATATTGGAATTCAATATCCCACGTGTCCCTACGAACCTTCAGGAGTCTCTGAACATTTGTGTCGTTTCTAAAACGATGACAATTATTGATACTGAACTTGGCTAGGAAGGCTGGCAATGTAGCCTGTCTTGTACCTGGTACCTAGGCCTACTGGTAGCGACTTTGCCGATGAGGAGAATTCTCATATAGATGCATAATGTACGTATGATACAATATAGCTACTACGAAGTGGTCCAACGAGACAGTTACTCAATTTCTATAACGTTTTCGTTTGTAAAAATTCTTTACATTATCATTAAGTTGCAGTTTTATTAGATTACGGTTTTGTATATAGCTTTTGATTAACTCTGATAGACATTTAGCATCAGTTTATCATTCATTGATGTTTTTTAAGTGGAATCAAATTTTATAAACATACTTCATGTACGATTAGAGCGTTCCATGAAGTTATACACGTAAATTGAATATATAAGCAATAACTTTTCTGAGTGTTCTTCAGGGGACTATAATATGCCCAGTTATTTTATACTTCACCTCAAAATCAAGATAACCCTCGTTGGACCACAAATACGTATATGATCATAATATGGGAACTTACAATACGGGACAATAACTACCTAAACACTTGATATCTGTTTGTACATACAATCAAGTTTGGATGACGCTTTTGGGCGTGGCTGTGAGTGGCAGGTCCATCTAAATGTTGGATATGGTAGACATTATTGTTAAAATTGGCATTATTTTCCGAAAGCAAGGATTATAAAACGCAACGTTTACGGATCGTGCATTAGTTGCAGGGATGTGTGCAAAAAAATTTCAAGGTTCGTTGTATTCTGTAATATTACGTCACACTCTGATTTATAATACTTACCATAGATGATCATTGTCCTGTTACGTGAAATTATAGCAGCTGTAATACGATGATTACGGTGCAAGTCATATAAACATATGTATTTCAACCGACTTAATACTATCTAGCGTCATTTAACATCGATTTGTTGCTTATCGAAGTATAGGTACCTGTTGCTAAGGCCGCAGTTAAATAGTGTTGGAAATAAGGGATGACCAATTTCAGATATTATACAAAGAGTATCATATCTGGCTGCGTATGTATATGGATGACATCGCTGTCCACAGTAGTATAGAAGGTGATAGCGGAACTAGATGTAGTTAGAATGGAGAATGAAAGAGGTCTGATTAAAAATCTTTCGCAGTTTGGAATTATGTGGATAAGTCGTAAGGGAATTTATCTATTAACACGTTAAACGCCATGGGGGTCACCGGTGACCGACATCAGTGGAGGAATTACCTTAAACAGTTTTCTATTGGCAGTCAAAGCCTTAAGAGTCAATCATTACACACCAGAAACGATATTACAAGGAAGTTTAAGACACTCAGGTGTCCAAAGATCATAATTCTAAGTAATGTTACAAAAATTAGGCAAGATTTGTAAAAATTTTGATATTCTCGGTTTATTCATACCTATCCAAGACTTTTTAGTGCTAGCAGAAAATGCTGTGTGAATATTGTGAACAGACTATCCAGGATTGATTACCAACTAATATTGAGGTACTTTGGACTAATAGCTTGCAGACAGTCGTATCCGGGACAAACGAATAGTAGTTCGCAAAATAGATGAAGTTTATGACACAAAAGTCATCTTTTGATGTCAAGATGTCGCAGGGTTCTACTGTCTTTAAAAAAGTGGAAACTGCACAATAGGGTAGTTTCCAAAATTTTATTTTAATGTCCGTCTGGTAGGTATATTAATTAAAAAGTTTAGACACGTATTTTTTCTTTTCTCACAAAATTAAATACTTTCGACGATACATTTAATTGAAATATCGTGTGACGTCACATCCTGCCACATTTTGTAGCACGTTATGACGTAACGACCTCCCACTCCTAAGCTTAGCGCCATTTTATCTAAGAATTGCAACTTAATACGAGAAAATAAAAAAATACGTGTCTAATATTTTTTCATTATCTAACTGACGGACTAATAAGATTTTTTATTTGCATACCCTGGAAACTACCCAATTGGTACCATATCGAATTAACTGGCACACAACACCTTTAGCTTACCTTTAGCTTTGTCGATAAGACGCAGATTAATAATACCCAATTTTCTTATACCTCTACAATTTCACACATACGTAGCTATAATTTTGACAACTTCATTAAAATAAAAAATTGTGTCGAGTGCGGTGTCGAAAGAAAAAGTTGTAATTTTAGCAGTTTTGAAGACATTTGTGATTTCAAAGCGGGGCGTGCATTTCTGTGCAATAAACGTGTCAATTGAAATTTGCAGAGATTTTATAGCAAGTTGAATAAATTGTTATATAATTATAGTAAGTGGAAAGATTAGATTTAAAAAGCAGTTAAGAAATACTTTCTTCCTGGCAGTAAACGTCTATTAATTTTTTTCTTAAAAAATGTTTCATCTTAAAAGTGCAGAGTGCCACAGTATACTTCTCTCTTCACCAGTTACATTACATGACAACGTGACTTGAACTTCACTTCCATAGAATAATGGACCTTATTTTGAAACATTTAGACGTCATCTAAATATTCAAGTTCTAGTTGCAGTTATAATCTGTTTACAATCCGCTGAGTTTGATACCTCACGTCATAATTACTGATTTATCTCGTTGTCAAAATTATATAGTTTAAAACGAATTACCTTAACTTGTACCTCTATAAACCAGAGTGTGTCGAAATACTTTTGGATGCGATAATAATATAAATTTTGTATGCCAATTTTGTTCTTCGTAGAATTTTGAATCATTTGCGTCGAAATAAATTTAGAGGCCAATCGTCACTTGATAACACCCAGAATACACGGGACTTATATTAAATATATCGGATACCGATGCGAGGTGGACTAGTGTATAGGAAAAGATTGTATCAAAAATGAAAAATAAAATAAGCTTCGTATTTAGCTCGTTAGTGATGACTTAGGATACGCTAAAGAACGGATGCACAAAACATGCCAAGTTGTCGTGAAAGAAAGATATAGGGGCGCATGCAGTCCAAACCAACCTTAAATGTTACAGGGTTCAAAACCCAGACTAAGGGGTGAAGTGAAGAGCAAAATAAATAAAAACAAACACTTCGCAAATAAATCGAAGTGTTGGAAAAAAATGCAAATTTTATAACTCTTGGCAAACCTGCAATTGTTAAGCGCATGGTTTATTAATAAGTATGAGCATCAAGAACTGGTATTATCTTAACTTAGAGTATCTGCTGAATTTGTCTGCAAATATCAAAGTTTCAATGTTTCATGTTATCAGGGAAGTCAGAGAAGACTGTTACTTTCACTAGGGACCATTATTACTGGATATAAACGAACACATTGTGTTTCTTTTGAGAAGGTTGTAGTATATTATGGGTAGTGTTCAGAAGTGAATTTCTTTCAATACCTTGTTGTGAGAGCTAGCATTGGGGCATGAGCTATCCGAAGCGCATTCTTCGGATGACGGTCCAGCCGTGAACGAAGAGCTCTGAGACGATACTGGAGAGACGCGACCATCAGTCAGTGGCAGACGCTGCTCTTGGACGCAAGCAAGGCTGAAATGTGAACATGAAATATTTGAAAACGTTTACAAGACAGTTTAGGTACTAATATTGAACTGTTTGGCACTACAATTTGTATTGTAGTATAAAATGTTAGATTACCACAACAGTGCTTTAAGGAATTCATATATCTTATCTTACCGCTTCAGCGTCACCAGCGTGCCAGTCAGCTTCTTGCAACGGCGCAAGGCAAGCTCCAAGCGCTCTGGCTCTTCTTCGAGCATTTTTTCCTTGCGGACCACCTGGAATTTACAGCACATAGTTTTAAACTCCTTGCTTTTGTGGTTCTTTCATATTCACTGTCTTAATTTCATTTCAATGTCAACTCATAGTGCGGATCGCCTGATGTGCAACGCGTTGCTGCAGAATTCACGTGTGAGACATATAATTATGCTATTAGTAAAATCTGAACATAGTTGTAGTCTAGATATACTTATCTTTAAGCTCACCCATGACTCATAAGAAAATCTTAACCAAGATTTTATAAGATACAATAACTATCGCGACCCTAGTAATTATACTTTTAAAGTCACATGAAATGACGTTAGAGTAAAAATGGCATTATTTCTATTCTCGCCACAGGTGTCAGGAGAGTCAAAAGGTATCAGGGAGATAAAGAGAGCGTTGGACAGTGACCAGGAAGCAGTGCTCTATGACAACCATGAACTTGTTAAACTGTGGTTTAAACCCACCTGGCAGACCACCCTGGGCATTATGGTAGATACTTTCAAGTAAAAGAAGTCTATGGCCCATAGTCTAGCATTGGAGTCACAAGCCTTTGATAATGATGATGGTTGTGTTGATAATGGTGATAATGATAAATTACCTTCTCCATCTCAGAAGCGAGCTTAGTCTTCATCGTGTCCTGCAGGATTGGAAACTTGAGTTTCCAATCAGCGACGGTCTTGCTGCTCTTGGAGAGCACCATGGCGATACGCTCTATGTCCGCCATATTGACGCGAGTCTCCCTGGAAATGGGTTAGTGGGGGATTTAGACTATTTGTGTAATTGTTTTTGTTTGTGTTGTTTTGTTCCTCGAATGAGTATAGGTAGAAGTTTAAGTGTTACAGCCATTTATTAGCAGTTGGTGAGGGTGTATGCCTTGACCAGGCATACATGGAAGCTCTACTACAGATTCCGTGTCATCATTGAGACTTATTCAATAGTAATGAATTCTGACTAAGTTACTGTTTCGGCAATAATACACTGAAAACTGAGGAGATATAGATTTTATGATTGCTTATTTGGAAGATGTTCAAAATATGGTTGATTAAATTGCCATAATTACCTGTTAGCGGCTTGGCCACGGAGACGCTCGACGGTAGCCTCCAGCTCATACAGGTCATTCTCCAGGAGCAGCATGTCCTGCCGGTAGATCTCTTCTTCGCGGCAGAGTTGCTGTAATCACCGAAAGCCAGGGAGATAAGAAACTTGTTACTTACAGATTCAAACTATATCTGAACTTTGACCATACATTACAATAATTTATTGAGACTGGCCGTAAACTGATAGATGGACGTAATATAGTAGATATAAGAAACGTTACACAGTTAGAAGAAATCAATAATTTTATATTTAGGTTTCGGTGACGGGTTAAGATATGTATACGCACAGAGTTCGGGTCAAGCTCAGAGAAGCTTTCAGCAATAGCACCAATCTTGACGATAGCGTCGCCCATGAGCTGTCTCATTTGCATGGCGTGACTCAGAGTAGAACGGCGCATATTGCGAGTCTGCGAATCAAATTAGCACTTAAGACTTAAACAAACACACAGTAACAGAACAATATTTCGCTGACAGCAAAAATTTCGCTCAAGAGCTTCATTGTCGCGTTAGTTCGCGTTAGCATACATGAAATTTCTCATCAGTCAACATACCTCAATGCGCAAGTCACGGCTCTGCTTCTGCAGCAGACGAAGTTGCCCCGGGAAGTCCGAAGACACGTTGATGGTGCACGTTTTCTGGGGTATCAGAGCAAGCTGCTGGCTAGCAAGACCTGCAGGCTTCGGAGGAGGAGCCGGCTTTAGGCGATCTCGTTCTGCAATACAAACATGCAACAATCCCTTTATTAAACATATTCCAGTCGACAAAAGCGGAGAAAGCTACACAATACAAGCATGATTTTTTAATTGCTTTAGCTTTACTCCAGCAAATTGTTCTTCCAAGGAACATCATTCAAAGCTGTTGCCAAGCTTTTATTGAACGATGTAAATGTTATTTTGTCTATGAACTTGTTAACGCTGATGTACAAGGACAGGAGGTACTATGGATAAGATGGAGAAGCATCCAAGTTCGACTAAGAATTTTAAATGTTTTCAACGTATGAAATCATTATATTGCCGTTTTTTCATTACTTCATTTATCAAGGTAACATAACAATCGATGTCTTCTCATAACATCACATCCAATTCTCCTGTCCATAGTACACCGCGGATATCCGCCACCAAATAATATTAATTATTCAAGTACATTTTATTAATACCGGCATGATTTCAAAGCTCGTGGCATTATAGACCTTTATCAATACATTTATAGTACAATTACATAAATATCAATGGATATCAAAGAGTTACCTTGTGACGATGTCCTCGGCAATGTCGAAGATTTGATAGCCGGTTTGGTAGGTTTGGAATCAGCTTGTTATGGCAAAGAAGTAAGCGGAAAGAAATCAAATACAAGAATTATGAACATGGTTATGACATTAACTACGATAGTGATTAGAAAAAATAACCAGTAGAGGATTCTATCGACTCTGAGAATGATGTGAACACATTGACTGTCGCTAATGAAACAATTACATACTTTCTCTTCATTCTCGACAGTAATCCCAAAAAGTCTGTGTGAGAGCCGAGGATGTTGCTATTCTGTTGTCAATGGTTATAATGAATCTAACTGGTAAACAAAAATTAATAACTGACCTCAATAATCGTAGATGTTTAACGTGGGGAATCATTTAATATCACAAAGGGTTTAATTGATACAGATTGACTGCTGGCATTTTTATTGAATAAATAAAATATGAGGACTTGGCTTGTGTGTAAAAGGCTACCATCAAAAGGGTTATATCGATGTAAACGTTATAATATATTAAAACCATACAGTACAGGCAACACACGTTGTTTGGTAGATACTGAGTATGGCGTGATCATACAATAGTAGATTTATATTAAATTACCACCACCGAGGGTTTAATCGATCTATAACCTTACATATGTAACTACTTCATAGACTAATAATAGAATGCAGTCAACTTGCAACAAGGGTTTACATAAGAAAGTAATGGTTTGTATGCGTACCTGTATGCTGAGGTGAATGCTGCTTTGGTGAGCTCATATCTGGAGGATCATCGCTAAATGATACTGATTTCTCAAATGAGACAGATTTTTCTGAAATAACAAATGTTAATTTGGTCAGTGCATGTTCAGTGTTTCAGTCTGAATTATTCGTAAATCTGTCACGATGCATTAATGTTACCAAAACCTATGATGAACCACAAGGACAGTCTGTACATAAAAGTGAATCATTCTGAGTCGGTGGCTGAGTGCATATTATTAATTTCAGAGATAGTTTTGTGAATGAATTTAAAAAGGTAGTGGTCAATTCAGTAGATTTGAGTGGTGTTGAGTGTGTAAAAAGAAATCAAAATACAAATTCAAGTGCAAAAATATCAAAAGGGGATTTGTACATGTGGAATATTGTAAATAAAATAAAACAGTCCAATTCAAATTGAAAAAACCATTCGGTGTATTCATTCTTGAGTCTGGGACAAAATAAGTGGATCGAAACCATAACACTGTACAATAAAGAGCTCATTAATCCAAACATTACATACTAAAGACACAAACAATAAATACAACTCAGAAAACTGCGAATTCTACAAAATTAACAGAACGAGATGTGATTAGTGAGTAGAGTTGACATTTCCGCGCGTACCACGAGACGATGGCTGGCTACAACTACCATACATACTGGCGCGCCTCATAATCAATCCCAGCAATGATTGAATCTACGTAAGAAAGCCTTTACTACCTGATTACTCATGAAACTCATCATTTCGATGAGAAGAATAGCTGATTTTGTCAAAATTCACAATATACAATGTTAGGTAGATGAGATGACGAATTATTCAAAACGAAGGTATAATACAAGACAGATGCACTTGAGCCTAATTTTTTTATTAAAAAGCTGAAATAAGAACAGTACCACTCGATTTAGCAAGCAAGCGATCGGCGTGATAATGATTTAGTTCGCTAAATGCATTGCGAATGTCGTCAGTCTGTTGGACATTTGGCAGACAACTAGTCGAACACATTGACGGCGTGAAAGTGACGCTTTCCCTGTTTGACATGGCAAGATGTGCGGAAACATCTCATTGCCATAGCATTTACGCGGTTGGTAATGGAATGTGGTAGAACCCATAATTTGCGGTTTATTTTTCTCCATTACCTATGGCTTAGACGTGACGTCAAACGTCTGGGTTCCTAGGTATGACTAGCATAGGAAATTGTAGAGAAACCACAATAAAGCGTCTTAACCTTTCAAACTTTTCTTAAATTGCTCTTTTCCTTGTAGCTGGTAATGGTTGTCTATGTATTCGCTTGTCTCGAAAGTTTTTTTCCACTCGACACTAGCAATGCATTAGCGGATACTCTTTAACCGCCTCCGATTACACTTACGAAATTTATCCCTGCCTAATTTAGGGGGTCTCTCGGTGCCGGTAAATCTTGCCGCATCTGAGTGCAGGAAAACGCAAGCTACATTAACTGACGAAGCTTTGAGTTACACACTACAAAGCCGTTTGTTCGGGCTAAGTAATTGAGAAAATGTATATAGGTAGATATATTGGACGAGGTATTTGATTTATTTGCGCTTAGAAATCCGGTTCCTTCAATTTTGTCGCGGTTCATTTTCGTTCAGCGACGAATATTGTTTGATTGCATTTTGGTATTTATCAAAATTCAAATATTTTTCTTTCGGCGTCGGCTAGTCACAAAACAAGATTAGTCATGAATGTTTGGTAAGTGTTTATATTACTGCTCACCTTGCGCTGCTGGGCGCACGTGGTAGGGCTGATACTCAGCTCGCGGGGCGGCCGCCGCGGGAGGTACTGGTGGTTGGTTGGGGACCTGCAAGGCTTTTTGCACGAGTCCCGTCAAATTGGCCAGTTGCCTCTCCATCTTCTCAACGCGCAGGCGTTGCATGTCATCCAATTGTGGCCTGCAAAATCATAATTAGAAACCCTGTCTATGCTTAGCTTAGATGCTTAGATACTCCTATTTATGGTATCCTTCATCTGTGTTCAAGTTAAGAAATCGCTTTTAGCAAAATCGCATCGCTATTGTTTTGAATCGAGAGGATAATATGAACTGACATTGTTTATAAATGTGCTGTGATTATTTGTATATTGTGGCCACAATATTGCATAGCAAATGTTTGTCACACAGTCGATTAATCAATGGGGAATTTGTACTGTATAATAGTTGGCAAGCGATCTTATTGAATGTGTTTTTCACAAAACGACTGATATTCGTTTTTCTCTAAGTTACCTGACATCGTACAGAGGGCGAGGCATCGGTCGCGGAGCACCAGCTATGGGATTTCCGTACATTTGGTATGCATCATCAATGATCACTGCATCCCTGAAAAAGCCATACTACGTCTTAGAAGTAATAGGAAACTTAGAAACAGGAAGCACCATTGACAGCCTACAGTATGTCAATGATTCCACATATATATTTTCCCAAAATGTCTGCTTACCCGGTCTCCTCATCAATGATGGGAGCAATGTTGGGCCTCCCAGCAGCAGTGCCGAGGTACTGGGAGTAGTAGGGGTCCTCGTAAGGAGTCCTGGCAGCCCCGCGTTCAGGGGATGACATGTACCCGTCAGCATGGCCTGTGCGGGCACAAAAACAATAATTCACATTTGTTCCAAACCCAGCGTCCTGTTCCCTTAAATATTTTATTTATATGTTAATATCAATATTTATAATATTTCAAGCAAAAATAGAATTATAATCAAAGCATGCGATTGTAATAAATATTTCTATAACGGTTTAATGCGAGTGCCTATTAGGCTATTGTAAATATAAAACGAGTAGCTCATACAATACCTTTTGTGCCAATAACTGGCACGTTTTACAACAGATTCAGAATCCACAATACGGTTGTGAAAGAACACTCTAAAAAGGAATTAAAAACGACGAAGCATCTGAGGGAACGCGGGTGGTTGGACATAGAGAGATTTCGAAAAGTTTTATTCACATTCACAACGTGTATACAAACGAAAGTTAATCTTTTGAAAGGTGTACACAATTAGAGTTTGACGAATAATAGATTATAGAAATTAATAAGGTGCGTTCGTTAGCGCAATGTTTAAGTTAATTAGTTGTAAGCATTGGCAAATTAAGGTTTAGAAGCGAAAGTGATGTGTTTGGTAGGGCGAGGGCCTGGTTACCGGGGATCGTGTACAGTTGTTCAGGGCCCCGAGTGCAATCGGCTGCAGCGAAGGGGAAACAGCGTTCTGACCCACTCCCTGGGATGTACGTGCGCAACGGCTTGGCCGGCGCAGTAGGACCTACAAACATCGCTCTTACCTAACTTAGACACCCCGAAATAGTCCCGGATCTTCTATAACCACTACTTCCTTCGAGTTTTTTACGGCTTTAGGGCAAACATATCACTGATGGTTAGCGTTTAACGCCCTTTGGACTCCGGTAACATTAAAGGAGTTTCGGATGCGTTGCAAGCCTTTAAGAGGAGTACGCTCTTTTCTTGATGGTTTGACTTCGGATAGGTTAGGATATATCGTAGGCGACAGCTTTCCACACGTTTGTCGTGCGAGGCACTAAATTCTGGAGTAACGTAGTTGCTTCAAAATCACACGACGTTACTACATCAATCGAAGAAATGAAACTAAATCAAATTGAAATATTTGGTCTACTATTCATTAAAAACTGTGTCCTTCTTGCGTATTAATTGCAGGTTTTTTATAAAGTTTATAAAATTGGTATGTAACATTAGCCTTGAATTCTCACCTGAGGCGGAATGGGATTTTACACGGTCAGCGGGCACGGGCGGGGCGGCCGGCGAATAGGCTCGGAGCATGGATCCCCCGCGCGGCAGCGTGCTCGGCTGCTGCCCACCGATGTAGTAAGCGGGTGCCTTTACCTATAACAAACAAAATAACCCATTATTAACACTGAATTGTATTTATTTTTAACCAAATTTATAAAGTAGTCCTTATTTTAAGTGAATACGTTGCAAATGTAACTTTCACACGTAAATGACAAGGATACATTATTGTCAAGGGCACAACACGCTGATCTTAAACTTGAATTATTATGTATGGTGAAAAGAAATAATCGTTTTGTACAGGTATACGATCCGAAAAACGAAACCCAGATATTATAATATATGTATACTTCGTTCCTCCCTGCATTTGAATCTGACAATACTTCGAGACGATTAACAGGGAGTCGACACAATTAATTACTTTTAAATAAAATAACTTCAAACTATCAATTTAAACTTTAAAGTCAAATTATTAAACTGCCTGTAGCAAATATATAATCGAAATTGCAAGTAAACCAGTGAAAATTAACGAACATTAATACCACAGCAGATTAATTAGGATTAAGCGTTAATCCTTAATAATTAAGGCCCTCCGGCCGATAGTGGACATATCAAATTGACGATATAATTAAATAACTATAATAATTACTGTTACATTTTAATGGTTTTTGAAATGATTGGCGAGGTATGTAGATTTTGTGTTAAGAAATATATATTTAAGGAAAAGAAAACACATTATAATAATTTCCGACAGTACCTACTATATCACCGATAGATACATTGACACAAAGTTTATATGCAAAATAAACATTCGTAAGATCACCTGTCCATAAATTTTAATATTTTTTATAGCTTTTAAGACTGCTCAACAATTCTTAGCGCTCCGATAGACATCTCTACCGACTATAGACAAAATTTAATAATATACACTTTCATAATGCAGGTAAAAATACTATTTTAAATATACTTCGTAAATCCTTTTTAGATGAAATTTTCAATTAATGTAATGTTAAATAACTGTATAAAAATAACAAAATAAATCACCGCCGCGTAGCGGGTCGCGACATGCTGCTCATGAATATGAGCCTCTAGCACGGCTTGAAACTAGTCGAGTTCCTCGTCAAATTATTACGTGAGTAAGCCGAAAACATAATAATTTATTTAGTATGTCTCACGAAAGTTACAATACAAAATAAATAATCAAGTCAAATATGGTCAAATTAGTTTTAGTTAGGATAACATTAAATGTAGTGAATAGTTCTAGAATCATAAACAAATAATAATTAAAGAGATTAAATGTTAGTTTCAAATTCCTGATGTATAGTTAAGACATTGGATCATAATATTAATGAATAGCGCTTGATTCACTGATTGTAGTCAAACAAAGTATAGTGTTTAGTATTGCGCACGTGGTAAACATTTTAAACATGTATACTGATAGACTGACACAGGTATGAAAGGAATTCACTATGATTTTAAGTCTACTATTTCAGTTTACGACCCACGACTAAAAGCTAATGAAGGAAAAGACCAGGAGAAGATTCTGGTATTGTGACCAGTGCACACCAAAGTTTTTGGCAACAGCGGTTTCAAGTAGCACTTGTCTGAATGATCTCTAAGCTCCGTTACCAGGTGGCAACGTAAGAAGAATAAGTCGACTTCGTCTTCATGAGATAGCGGCAAAAGAACAGACAGATTACCTGTGTGCAGCACCGGTTCTAAAAAGGAGTACGCTCAATTCTCGAAGGTTTAAAGGTCGAATCGGTTTGGAAATACAACAGGCGACACTTTAATTGAGAGTTTTACTCCCAAAGTATGACTGTCAACTTCGGCAATGCCTTTGTCCCAGTCTAGATCAACATCTAAACATTTACATTTTAAAGATATAAACACGACATGACATGTGTCATTGTGTTAACTCAACTTGTATATTATTATTATAATATTCATATTATTATTTACGAGTTCAATTATCAACATTGTTTTGTGGTTTACAAACATCATAGCGATGTATTGACATTCAACTGCAACGGCAGGCGTCAGTCTACCGCTTGTTTCACAAAAGAAAGCACATCTGTCTTGAATGGGAGATTATTAACAGATTGAGATACGTTGAGAAGAACGGTCGACAATAGTAACTTCAGAAATATAATATGTATTGCGTTTCTTCTGTAACTTTGTATCTTCATGTGACATCTCGGACATCGAAATATTAACATAGTTTAGTTATTTTTAATTAACTTTAACAATGCTGTGGTTATATTTAATTGTGTCATTGAGTGTTATTCGCACTGGTTTGTCGATCAACAGGCCTGTGTATAAAATTGTGCTCAAACAAAAAGGATATGCGCAGGTTAGTCAGTGTTGCGTTCTGTTTAAAAATGTTGTTATTGTCAATAAATGTAAGAGTCTGCCTTGCGAATTCCGTACTTTCAAAGCAATTGTGCAGTGAAATGAGGTTTTGCTGTAAAATTTTACGTTTTGAATGAACTTCCAGTTTCTGCAATACGACATTGAGACTCCCCCGCTGAGAGAATTCACTATATGCACTTGGATCCGTGTGTACGAACTGAGTGGAGACCAGAGCATATTCACATATGTCGGTGAGTGGCTGTAGATAAGAATGGACTGTTCCAACTGAAGTATTTTTTTATTATTTATTAAGGTCGGCAAAAAAGTTGTCCACGTGAAAGTAAACCACTTTTGGTGAAACCACAGAATCAAAGTAATGAGCAAATAAAGATTGCGTTAACATAATTAAATTGACCCCCTTAACTGAACTTGCTTGCAGGACCAGTGTTGCGTAACTTTTGTATTTTTTGTGTCTACGCCTAGGTGGGACCGCCGTGTTAGGATTGGCCGCAAGGGCGATTTGCTGATAGCGAGGCCGTCAGTTCGGTTATCGGTTAAGACAAAGTTCTTAAATAAATAAGACATTATCAACACTTTAAATGTTAAACCTAAACTCGTTGATCGATTATAATTATATCTCATTTTCAAAATACATTAAATGCTATCTTAGATTTTAATGTACTATTTCAAACTACATACAAATAGAGCTACGTAGGTACACAAGATATTTGTGGTTTCTGCACGGTTATGTAACATTCACCATTTTGCTACTAATTGATCCAGTCGTGGAGTATCCCAGTCTGCGTGCTCGTTAACCACTGTCGGGTTTTACACTACAATAAACAGACTAGGGTGACTACATCTTAGCTTTTTGTTATTTTTCTACAATTAATAAAATTTTCATTGTTTTGTAATCACCAAAACCTTGTAACATGTTAACGTATGATAATTTATTTCAACACCTAAGACCGTATAAGTCTTTCTCTAATTAGTTGTTGAATGTAAATCTAGCGGTGTTAATAGGCCTAAATATTCTAGAATAAAATCAAATGTTCATGATAAACAAAAATTTCGTAACACACACACATTCAATGCGCGTGATTAGGGCTAATATGGAGACATACATAATTTATGTGCACTCGATAGACGACTTCACGGTCTAATAAATGTTTTTTTAACAAAGTATTAATGCAACTTGATATACGTTTTAGCGAATGGCAACAACCGTGTTGTAAGGTTGTGGTTGGACTCAGGAGGGAAGCACATTAACGTGTCGATCAATGGCAAGGTGACGTCCAGTACAGCTGTGGACATCACGAAGGACGTTTGGCGGCACATCTGTTTGTCCTACCAAGCGGACTTCGGAGCGTGGGCACTCTACGTCGACTCCCGCCTCCTCTCCTGCCAGGCATCACAGAGCGTAAGTAAATTATAATCGTTAAAGACTGTAGCTACACATTATAAACAAGAATTCAATGTTATAAATAAAGGCCACGACCCACTCAGTATGTGATCACGAAAATGCATGTTCAAATTAGTCAGCCGAAAGACAAATGACCGCAAAGCTTTATCCGGATGGCTGAGGTCACTTCGGCCACGATTTAGCATATAGATAAAACATGTGATAAATCGACATAGACATATTACGAAACTAGAGCTCCAGACAAGGCTGACGCTAGTATCCATGAAGAGACAGTTCCATCATAAGTATAACGATTACCCGAGGCTAGTTAATACCTTGTTAGGTAACCGTGTGGACACACACTTCGAATATTTATTGTGATTGGAAGGTTCCTTAAATCTTACAATGTTTTTTTCAGCTCCTTGGATACATATTACCCCATGGTGGCAGCGTGATTATTGGATATGGAACAGCAGAAAATGGTTAGTCATTATTAATCTGTCAAACACCAAGCGGTCACCGGTGACCGCGACCTATTGTTCTTTAATTGTGTCTATAAAACCGGTACTCGACGAGTTAAATTGAAAAATTAGTAAAACAAAGTTCAGCGACAATATTAAAACTATTCATTCTCAATTACAGGTTCACCTAATGGATTGGAAGGCGAAATATTTGGAATGAACATGATATTGGCGTCCACTATAGAAAGAAATTACACTATACGCAATGACCCTCACTACGCACAAAAAAAGTTTCGTCAAAACAAAATGAAAAGTAGCAGCCCTCACTTGAACTATATTGTTTTAAGCGATTTACAAACTGGTGAACTTAAAAATAATTTTGAAACTACGCAAGTACCAACAACAAATGCTACAAAAAGTTTCATACGATTTAGAACACCACATAGCTTTGTTGATCACGCTGTTGGATTAGATGTTACTACAAAAAGTACTCCTGTATCAATCGTACCTAAAGATTTGTTGGGATTCCCAGATAAAACTGAACAACCAGATGGTTTAACTTTTTGGAATTTAAGTGAATATGAGCACACCGGCAAATACAATATTCCAGATAAACCCAAGGGCCCAAACAATGGATCTAGCACCATATTTCCAATTATGTTATCCGAGTTTGAAACACCGCCACCACCACCGTCAAAATTCACGTATTTTGCAACAACATTGGAAAAGGAAATATCTCCCGGAACAAGTCAGAAATTTAGAGCAGTTACAGAGCCCAACAAACCTACAGTTAATAAAAGAATTCCGGCCGAGATATCTGAAATGGAGACCCCGCCACCCTTAGAGAGGAATCCTAAAGTTTATGGTCAATGGACTAGTTCAAAATTCGCTGGCAGCGTATTAAATTATCTTAAAAATATTCAACAGCGAACTAGAGAACAGAAAAAAGTTCCGCAGACTATCCCATTGTCTAAACTATCCGATAGCTTCCCTTATGCCTCTGATTTTAAAGTAAATAAAATTCGGCCACCATTTCAATTCCAGCGTAGGAATTTAGTTGAAAAGCAATTTGATACGAATAAAAGAAGTCCTCAAATTAACGTACAGATATTGGAAGACGATTTAAGACATCAAATTATAAAAACACATGCACAAACTCAACCTAAACAGGTTGAAATCACACACAGAGGAGTACGAACGAGGAAACATGAACGGAGGTTTTACAGAAACGCTGAAGTTCAAGAGAGTGGTGAAAGTCTTGAGAGCGCTGAAAATATTCAGTCTCCAAAACTGTTAAATAAAGAAAAACAAAAAATTCAGCAGACTTAACTTTACAAACAAATAAATTATTGTCCATTCTTCCATTTTTGAAGTCGTTAGAGTACTTTGTCGAAAATGCTGGTAGCCCATCTAATGAAGATAAGACTGACATGTATACCAGAAGTTTATCTGCTGGTAACAAATGGCATAATGTTAAATCCTATAGTAACGACTATACACCGCGTGAAGTAAAAATTGACCCTCTAAGTGGACAGAGTGCTATCGATGAAAAAATTGCAGAAGTGAACAAAAGGCATCCAGGTGTTCGGCATAATTACAAACACGAAAACCGTAACCTTCTACCGCATAAAGAGGACCCAACTTTGTTAAAAGGTCGAGCACTAGCTGCAGAAGTATCCAATCAATCGGATTACAACAAAGATTCCATTTCAATATTAAAATATAACCACGGATTTTTGCCTGGACACAATAAAAAAATCAAAATGGCCGAAAAGCACCACTTAGTGAAAGGAAAAACTCACAACAGTCGGAAAAACAATTTTAACAAGCACATTAAAATAGGGAACGCATTAAATGAACGTCACATCATTGGTGCTAACGCTGAGGAAAATAAACAAAGCTTTGTTGGTGGACACGAGAATATACCAGATATTAACAAATATAGATCCGAGTCTGATTACACGGGTTCAACAGTTCCAGGGTCTTTGGGGCCGAGAATATGCAAAAATGTGGAATTGTACGACCGTGTATTGTACGTACAGACTGACGGGAGTATCGACATGACACACATATTGTCTCCAGTCAGAATGAAGAATATTGGTATAGAATTTATTATGCAAAATTACAAAAAGTGTTCGCTGCAGGAATCTGATTTGCAGCGCAACCCAATGCTGTTTATAGATTGGAGTAGAACCCCGGTCAGATTATTTGGTGGTTCTTTTCCGAAAACCACAACAGATCTCTGCGGGTTTTTCTAAATTGTTATTGAATTGTTTAATTAATTCATTGTTTTCATTATTATTTTTTTTGTAAAAGTTTGTAAAAATTGCACCTATGAAGACATTTCATTTCAAATAATTATGAGTGTTTTACTTTGTGTTTGTAACAATATAATTATGTAGATGTTTCATCATATTATCGCAACTAGTTTAGAAAGTGCATGACAGGGTAAACCAAGTATAACAAAGACATTCTTTGAACTATAGTATACTTAGACTCATAATGTTATTGATGAGGTTAATCAATTTGCTAAAATTGAATAACATAGTCAATTAAGGACGCCGTAAAAGTCAAGTAACATAACTTATTCTAGGACTGAACAATTCTAAACAAACAAGACAAGTAAAAGGTTTACGAAAAAAAAACTAACGAGTTTAAATTAACATTTTTGCGTAGTGCAACCTATGACGTACGTAACAACCCCGATTTAAATAAAAATAAAATTAAAAATATTAGGACACATCCTTGAAGATATTATAAATTAATTGAACCAGTTCAAAAAGCAATGAATGAAATGATAAACAAACTAAAAGAATTAAGTAAACACAAATCTAAATGACTTCCTATAGACTGAGTAGCGGATGTTGTTGTAGACAAATATTTGGAACTTGTTCTCATTTCTAAAGCGACAATTAGTTCAAGGCTGACCAGTTATATACATATAAAAAAATGAAATAGTGAGATGTAACTGTCTCATTGACGAAACAACTCAAACCGGTTTGTAGCGACCAGATGATAAATCACCAGAGAGTGAACCTCACAATTTTGCTTCCGTAGTAACGTGGATACATGCTGTGGCAACAGTAAATTGCAGTATTGTAGGTGAGCTCGCGTGTGGTTTACTGGTCCACTAATTTTGCTAAAGTAGAGCGTCCAAAGCGCTGTGCTTTAAATTCTCCACTGTATGTAGTCTCTGGTTAAACATTCAGCTTTGGCTTACAAATGAGATCACTTAATTACATAACGAGTCTAAAAATTAGTTAGTTTTGTCGTAGGCATTGCTTGCTAGTTACGTTGTTGTATTAAATAAGTCTTGCATGAAATATCTCGTCATGGTTTGTATGATTTCTGCAAGTTGACCACGTGATTACGTTTGTGGAAATAGACATGTCCTAACAACAATTTGCGACATGTATCAACCGTGATGCCGGATCTATGTAACTATGTAACACAATGGGTCGCTACAGAACCAAATATATTATAGCAACAGTAAGAAAGAATAATGGGCCGTAAATAATGATGTAGCAGAAATACTAACTGGCCTTAATTATTTTAAAACAAGATGTGATTGCCTTATAATTATCTGATGATGGTCATGGGTTCAAAATACATGACGTAATAAACGACATTACACCTAAACAGTTATTATCAAAACAAGTTGTTACTTGTGCTACCTTTATAAAACACAAAGGAAGTGCTGTACCGTCTCTGACTAAATACTACATTGATACCAAAGAAGAGCAATCTTAAACTACTCAACGAACCAGGCAGATACAACAAACCATCCATTTAAAACTAAATTAATTACACTCAATCTATCCCAAAGTCCCAATCAATTTATCAATAAACTCTAATCGACTATCAACTTTAAGTATTTCTGTTAAAGTCGGAATTGTATTCAAGAGATTTAGGGTAGTTTGAAGTGCTGGTGCCTACTAAAGTCAACTGTCCATCACGATCGACTGTGTAAATCGAGAAATGCAACGCAATTCAACAGTACTTGAGTTATTTAGACCACCATTAGGCTTAGAACATCCTGTGAATCAATCAGAGTTGTCCAATGTGAATATTTGTACTTTTTGTCATAGGTACATTTAATATAGCACACTTTTTACTTGTCATGTTACATAAAACATATACCATGTTGAAATAAATGGTGACCCAATAGCTACCAAAGGCATAGTTTATAAAAGAAAAAAATCTGTGTTAGTAAAGTGCAATGTAACCTTACTGGATTCAATATTGACAATTTGAGACGTCTTGACTTTGTCCTGATTGCTTATGACCCCTCAACTAACAATTCTATCGATCCTGTAATGTTCAAGGCTGTAAAGCTAGAAGCGACCAGTTATGAGACCTGATGTTTGCTAAGAGTAGCAGTGAAACATACTTGACCTACGCCTCGAGAAATAAATAAAATATCTTGTAATTAGTGATATTTCTGCATGTATTGTAACCAAATAAACTACTAAAATCCCAGCGACTTAAAGTCTTAAAACCCCCAACAGAATGAATTCTTTCTTTTTTTTCTTTTTTTTTTAAAAAACTTTGCCCCACACTAGGATTTTCTCCTGTGTCGTGGGTGCGTTTACAAACATACAATATCACATACACATGACACCCAGACCCGGAACAACAATCTGTGGATCACACAAAGAGTTGTTCCGTGCGGGAATCGAACCCGCGACACGTTGCGCGGCAGCTAGTTGCCCAGCCACCGTGCCAACCGTGCAGTCTAGAATAGAAGATAACATGGGATAAATAAGAAAGAAATAATCTATAGGTAATTATTTCATTCAGCATTTAAAATGAAACTTAATATTAAAAAGTATTCAACGAAGTGTATAAATAACATAATCAAATGGAAAAATAGGATTCGTAGCTCGTTTGAGAAATAAACAAATCGTACGACTTTATTAATGTATCGAAGCGGAGTTTTTCTAGATGCTGTTGTTCTCCGCGTTCAATTTATATCGATGCCAATATCAGACTAGTTATCGGTTGCAATATTGAAAGTATTTTAATGGAAAACTGTTATGAATCTTGCTTTTGATAACTTATTGATGGGGTTTTAATGAAAATCGTTTGTTTGTAGATATTTAGAAGTTTTGTGTTCATCAAAACTTACTTTTTTGAAGCTAAAGGTACCTATGTTTACTGTTTCTTTTCGTTATACAGACTGGAGTACAAATGTGTGCTAAAGCTGACACATGTTAAAAATAGTCGATTTATTTTAAGTACCTAGTCCCCAAAATGAAGAAGAATGAATACTTATGAAGCTTCAAAATAGAATTATCCATCAACGTATCTGCCCATAACGTAAGGTAAACAACTGCATGGTGTAGGTCATTTTTGTACCCTTACTACTTTTGAAAGAAAAACCAACAAAATAATATTGAGAGCCACTGTTTTTTACACACAGATATATCTAGCAAATGATGTCGGATAAGGCCTAGTAACTACAGCAATCAGACCTTATCCGACATTTAGTCGAAAATCTAGACTTGGAACGCAATGTTAGCAAAGGAAGTCAAACCAGCGAATAATTGGCCGGAAAGCAATTGTGTAACAAATTTTATTATACGGATTTTATTTATAACTTTTATACTTGTTTATTCAGTGTAAATACGAGTTTAACTTTTAATTTCACACGTCAATCATTATTTATCGTCACCTGATCAATTTTATTGCTTCATTTCCGATCCAACTAGTCGTTCGAAAAGTGTCTATGTACTTTAAATAGGTATTGATTTTATGTAATGTAATTACATAACATAACATCACGCCTTTTTATCCCCGAAGGGATAGTCAGAGGTGCATATATGTTAGTTTGTTACATCTTCACGTAAAAAAGGCTCAATGGATCGGGATGAAATTTGGAAGAAAGTTTTATCTAATTTGAATGTGGGCGAACCCGCTGGCAGTACTTAGTTTAAACATAAACCTAACAATCTCTACTCCAATCAGAAGGGTTAAAACCAATCAATTTCATAGCATTAAGTAAGAAATAAAAGAAAGATACTGTAACAAAATAGAAAATGGGAACTAAAATCGAATCAATCCATTTCAATTGCGTTGAGTGAAGTATAAAGGAATCGAAGTGAGGCGTACCTACTCAAACAATATTGTAATACCATAAGTCAGGAACAGGATTATAAATCAAACAATGTTATATTTTTTAAGCTTTCACTTTAAAGAATTAGTTTCATCGCCACAGCATAAATGCCCACTGCTGAGCAAAGGCCTCTTTTCACACGGAGAAGGTTTGAGCATTAATCACCACGCTTGCTCAATGCGGGTTGGCTGACAAACTTATAATTAGAAATTATAAGCCTAGGTTTCCTCACGATGTTTTCCTTCACCATTTGTCAGTGAGACAGTATCTAGATAATCTTAGAAAGTACATGTAACCCGGACATATACATACTCCTGCATAAAAATAACATTTAATAAAAATTCAATTACAAGGTTCAATTTCCAATACAACGAAATAATTAATTAAAACTTTAGACGGTAATAAATGCAACACTAATAACATGTACTAAAAATAATTACAACAAAACTCTTAAATAATATTGTTGAGCTCATATTAAAACTGAAAACTGCACATATTTCATAAATATACTGTTACAAATAAACATTGTAGTTCTATATCCTACTAATATTAATGATGCCTGCCTCGTTGGCTGAGTGGTCGCAAGTGCGACTGCCATACAAGAGGTCTCGAGTTCGATTCCCGGGACGGGCAAAGTATTACTGGGTTTTTAAAAAAAATCTCAGTAGTAGTACGGAGTCTGGAAATGTGCCCGGTATATGGCAATAGGCTCACCCCCTATTACATGGGACGCATAACATAAATAGTGAAAATTGGGTGTTACTTATGTGTGCACCTTTGCCTACCCCTTCGGGGATAAAAGGCGTGATGTTATGTTATTAATAATGCAAAAGTATGTGAGAATGTATTTGTGTATAGACTGCACGGTTGGCGCGGTGCGGTGGCTGGGCAACTGGCTACCGCGCAACGTGTCTCGGGTTCGATTCCCGCACAGAACTTTATGTGATCCACAAAATGTGGTTTCAGGTCTGGGTGTCATGTGTAAGTTAACTTGTATGTTTTTAAACGCACACACGACACTAAAGAAAAGCCTAGTGTGGGGAAACATTTAAAAATATATGTGTGTTTGATATTCTTTCACAGGTCAAATGGCTGAAAGGATCGTGTTTAAATTTAGATTATGGATAGATTATGGTTTGGAAT